CCCACCCAACTTTTTTTTTTTTTCTCCTAAAGCAACTCCACCTCCTCCAAAAAAAAGAGGTGACATGCTAGGGGCAGGTGCAGCCCAGAGCGCAGCTCAGCCAGCATCGATTCACCCAGGAAGGGCCTTGGAATAGAGCAAAGAAGGYGCCGGGACAGCCGGGCTGGCCCCCCACTCCAGGGCCTTTCTCTTTCGATGTCAACAAGCCACAAATGGGTTCGTCTTTTTCTGGCAGCCCCTCGAGTGAGGAGTAGGGAGCAAAGAAACACCTGCAGCATCCGCATGGAAGGGAAATTCCCAGAAATTTCTGGCTCCAGGACAGTGTTACGGACACCCACGGTGCCCCGAGGCCAGAACCTGCAGTGCTCTGGGTCTCAGTCGCCCTTATGTTGGAGCTATCCCAAAGTTCAGGAGGTGGTTCAGGAAGTTATGTGCCCAAATATTCCTGCCTGTCTGTCCATTCACCCAAACATTCCTGGCCTCGTGTCAAGAGGGGGAAGCTCCATCCAGGTTGAAGGATTTGGGGGACAATTTACGACTTATTGAAGGCAGCCAGGACAGCCCAGATCATCTCAGTGCCTTTGGCTTTGGTAGCTTCTAGCTCCGGGTCCAGTTCCAGGAGGTCCTTGGACCTGTTCATGGCCAAGTCGTAGCGCTCGTCAGCCAGGCCGCCAAAAACGCCCTCAAGGACGTCCGAGGAGTGTGCAAGAACCAGGAGCGCCAGCGTGCGGCGCTCCATGCGCTGCGGCTCCCGCACCCAGCGCTCCAGGACACTCTCCTGCAGCTTCCGCACCAGCCGCTGCTTCTCACTCGCGTTGCTCACAGGATGCGTGGTCATATCGAAGAGCAAGAAGTTCTGCTTCTCCGTGGTGAGAATGCCCTTCTCCACGAGGCTCTTGGCCACGCGCTCCCGCACGTTGCGCAGCTGGTACTGCAGCTTGAAAGGGTTCCAGGTCTCCCCTATGGAAAAGCCACTGGCATGAGGCCAGGAGAGATGGGCTGTCTGTGCCACAGCCCAGACCCTCTGAACTCAAGACTCATCAAAGACTTGGCGTTAAGAAGTGAATAAGGAAGGGCAAGGCCAGACTCGCTCAGAATTCCCAGCAAGTAAGATCCGGACGTCCCTACCGGTGAGCAGCTCGATCCAGGTCTGCACCGTCTCAGCAGGCTCTGTAACCTTGATGTGCCTCAGGGTCTCATCCAGCAGGACATCCCCAGTCGGAGCATCTGACTTCAGGAGCACCTAGAAGGACACATGAGAACACAGCGTTGCAGAGGACCCAGAACTGCTGCTTCCTCCTCAGAAGATCCCTGCAAATCCCAGGCTACAGCATCGCTGCTGCCAAACCCACTAAAACATGAGCTGGGGGGACACAGAGGCTGGGCTGCGACCCAGGGAAGCTCCCGCGGTGCCTTTACCTTCCTGTCCAGCAGCCTCTTCTTCCTCATGGTGAGAGGCTCCAGCTGGATGCGGCCACGCAGCGCCAGCTCAATGAGGATACCACCCCGCAGGCCAGAGGAGATGCAGTCATTCCAGAAAGATGTGTAGCCCTGGAGAAGGGGAGGAGAGAGGGAGAAAAGGCAAATGAAGGGCCGTAGGTGAGCAAGAGGGCACTCTTCCACACTCCTCCAGAGCTCCTCCATGGATTTGGGTCCTCCTTCCAAAGCCCAGATTGCAGCCTCAGGGAGTGCAAAGGGGTTTGCAGGGGAGGTGACATTCCTTGTCTGTAGGGCATGGCTTCCCACTGCTTCCAGGCTCGCGTGTCACCAAAATCGGGATCACAAAAAAAGCCATCTCACTGAGTTTGAGCAAGAACGAGGAAAACAAGGTCTCTATCACCTGCCCGATCCCTCCCGCAGAGCAGAGCTGTGCCCAGGGTCCGGAGCACAGCCGAAGGGATGAGGGACCTGCACTGCAACCCACAGGATTCAAGCTGGAAAAGCTAGGAAAGGGACAAGGTAGCTTGGGGACAGTGTCTGTGTTGGGCAGGAAGACCCCCTCGCTTGATACTTAAGAGCAAATTCAACTCATGTTTCTCAGGAGCTGAGCCCAACTCTGAAGAAAAGGGCAAGCCTGGGGCACTGCTCGAGTTCCCTTCTCCCACCTTTACCTTCTCCCGAGAAGAGGGGAAGGTTGCTGCAGCTGGGTGACTGCTTTACTGTGGGCAAGGCCTGTGCAAACAGAGCTGAAGAGTCTTCAGATTTCAGGCAAAAGAGACAAGGTCTTGGCCAGCAGCGCAGCTAGAAGCGGGACGCTTGCGTGTGGAGCGAGTCTGGCCAAGGACCGGGACACAGAGTCACTACAAATGTGCCTGAAACGTTTGTTTTTAACTCCCTCCTTGTTGATCTTATAGGATCAGGGAAAAGGAGAGAAAGGGCAGATTTAAAAGGTACTGGAAGATTAATGACAGAGCGATCCTGCCTCTGCTAAGGAAACAGAGCTGAGAACATGCAGTCCTCTTCAACAGAGGGTTTTACAGCCCACAAGAAAAAAATTGTCTCCTCCAAGCAACTGTCTGTAGAGAGTGCTCTGACACCAGACAGCTCAGCTTGATAACGCCAAGAATCATAAAAGAAATTGAGATCTCTGTTTGCTTTCTCCACTTCCTTGTGGAGGGAGACAAAGAAACCCTTCATCCTTGCCCTGCTAAGTCCTGCTAAGCCCTGCCCAGAGGAGATGTTGTCGTTTTATATACGTGACCTCTGGAAAGAAGTTCTCTGGGAAAAGGACTTGGAGATTATCAAAGGCTTCAATTTACTGGACTAGAGGAAGCATCCTGCTGCAAAATTTTAAGGGCCTCAGGAATCAAAAAAGTTGAAAGCTAGGCTGCTGCTTCGCCTCTCCCACATGGAGAGATCGGCACCTGGAATCATGAAATTGCACAGTGAACTCACTGAATTTGCTTCAAGTTCCCTAGTTTTTCCAGTCAGACTCACACACCGAAGCCTGAGCCGGGAAAAAAGCTGATCCTGGGCTCCCAGCTGCTCATCTCGCTGCTGCTGCTGCTTCTGCTTTTACAGCATTTTGAGCTGGGGGAATGTGGAAGGATGGCTAAAAAGAAAAACATTATAAAGAGTGGAAAGTCTGTTTGTTCTCCTGCTTTCCAGGTTTTTGGAGAACTGTTCCTAAGTGTTTTTAAGSAATGCTTTCTGGGAGGAATGCAAGGGAGGTAGCAAAGAGCCACAGCCTTCAAGGAAGAGAATCTGCCAAGCGGGACGAGGCCGTTTCTGCAGTAACGCAGCACCGCGGAGATCCCAGCGCCCGCCCACAGGTTTCAAACATTAACTTGGCCCCCAGAGCCACAAGAGAACTCAGCTAACAGCAAGAAAATGCCTGAAGAAGGAGCCTGAACGCCCCATTTTTGAGAGGGGCCAGTGACAGGTACACAATCATAAGGAGAGAGTTTCTGACACAATCATAAGGAGAGGGAAGTGCCCTGCCTTCACCAAAGGGCCCATTTGGGTTTTGATTTACAGAGCCTGGGCTGAGGATCTCAAGCCAGGATCTCTTCTGGGAAAACAAGGAGGAACCATGTGGAATCCCGCCCTTAACCAAAGCAAGAATGCCCAATGCGGGCCATGAGGGAAGCAGAACATGCCATTCTCCCGAACTGTGCATGGATATTTGCTCCCCAGCATTTATTTGTGTGGCTTTCCTGTCACAGCCTCGCACTCCTATGCTTCCTATTTCAACTCCCAGATCTTATCTGGGCTTGTTAAACAGGGTGCTTGGAGGCCCCATCACTTCTGCAAGTGCGATACAGCTCCAACAGCTTCAGCTCCTTTCCTCGGGGTGCAAAGCCAGGCTCTTCCCAAGCCCTCAAAGCGGAACTGGAAAACCTGTGTTTAAGGTTCTCCTCTACCATTCTGCTCCCAAGAAACATCCAGGTTGGCTTCGTCACAATCTCCCCTTCAGTTCAACAGGGACAACAGCATCACTTTGCCCCCAGGAGATGAAGAAGGCCCCGGGATGACCAAGCTGGAGACACAAGATGGGATACAGGCTCAGCAGCCCGGAGCTAGGCAGCAGGAGCTCTGCTCCTGGCTACCGCCTCTCTCCTTCCCAACAGCCATTCCAGGCAGACTGGAGCAACAAGTTGCTCCCAGCTGATAAGCACAAAACAGCCGAGTTTGTTGCCAGGCCCATTCCAGCAGTGAACACCCTCCTTGACAATAACGAGTCGGCAAGTTCACACACTGCTGTCCAGGATTGGCACCCATCAGGAGAAGCAGTCTTCCCCACGTCCCAGTTCCCTGGCTAGGGACGTGGCTGCTCTGAGAGCATGGACTCCATCATATCTGCCTCGTTTCCGTATTCAAACTTCTCCAGCACCTGCTTTGAGCTCCATCTCCAGCTGCATTCTCTCATCTCTTCTCTCAAGAAACCTATCCCAGCAGTTACTCACATCAGTTTTTAGAAGAGAGTAAATAGCCCTCGCAGCCCTGTGCCTCACCTGCTCCTTTCAGATAAGAAAGTGCAGCCAAACATGAGAAGCAGACATTCTCCATCTGACACCTATGGTGCCTTTTACCCCAGGTTTGCTCTGTTGCATGTGGACAAGCTCCTCTGGGATACTGTGAGAGCTCTGGCAAGCACTCCCTTACCTCCTTGTCCTTCAGCCCCAGCAGCAGCACCTCCTCCATGAGCGTGAGCCGCACCTCCTTGGAGTCATCAGTGTCTTCGTCGCTCAGGTCCCTATCTGCGGCCACATCCTCCTGGTCCCCGAGCCTCCTATCCGAGATCCTCGCTCGTCCTCGGTGCGTTAGTGTCGTCATGGTGGCCTGCAGCCAGGAGCACAGGGAGCAGAGCGTGCGCCGGGCCCAAGCCTGCACTGCAGCTCCGCGGAGCCACGGGCAGCTCGGCACGGCTGCAACCCTGCCCCTTTTCGCAGGAGGTTTCAGCTCTCCCCTCCCAGGGTGGCCATATGGGAGTTCCTGCAGGGAGCGGTCGCCTGTAACGCGGTGACACGCGGAAAGGGATGGCTGCACCTTCAGGAGGTAGCAAGGGACCTGAGTCACCGCAGTCACGCAAGCAGGGAGACCTCCTGGGCACACACACCAAGGGACAGGGTCAAGGCTCAGGCTCTCCCGCTCCGTCCCGGATACGGATCTGCCACAGAGCCCCAGGGCAATGACGGAAGCCACCTTTACACAGGCTGCCCTCTTCCTTCTTTTCCCTCCTGTAGGGCTTGGCTGCCTGTACCTAGGACTTGCATATTTAAGGAGGTCCATGAGCTTCCCYCCCACTTAGGTTTCACTTCCCAGGCTGCTAACCCCAAATCCTTCAGGAACACTCAAAATCTCTCTCTCCTTGAGCTGATTCCCAGTCCCCAGCCACCCCATGTCACAGGGGCAGCTCAGAGTCCCACTAAAACCGCACCATCAAGTGGCAAAGGGATGGGGTGGGGGGCAGATGTAAACAGCACAAGGGCAGGAGACTGAGGAGCGCGAGGCAGTATTTCCTGCAGCCTCTTTCTACACATAAGTATTCAGAGCCTGGAAAGACCCATCCTCCTCCCTGCACAAGCACCCACGGAACAGTAATTCCATTTGACAACCTCCCCCACACCCCCTGCAGCCTCCCTCTCTACCTCTCCCCAGCCAAAATTAAACCCAGAATAACCACCACAGTGCCTTACCCGCGCTCACCCCGTCCTTCCTGAGCCTCCCGGAGCCAACTCCGGAGCCAGGGAAGGGAAAAGCTTCCTGGGTGAGCGAGGCAGGGGAGGGAGCAGCCCAGCAGCTTCCTGGCCGCCCGGTGAGCGGCCTGGAGCGTGCGCTGCCGAATGGGAGCCTCCGAGGCCAGGGAGCCTCCAATGAGCAGGGCCAGTGGCCAGGGCAGCACAGGACGCGGAGGGTGGGATTTCTCCTCCTCCTCCTCCACCTCTCTGTGAGGAAGGCACAGGGTGGGGAGCAGTGCTCCAGGGCTCTGGGTTGCCTGTCCCTCTGCTCCTTGGGGGCTCTTCCCTCCCGGTGTCCGTGTCACCGTGCCCCAGAGAACACCCAGCACAAGGTATTTGTCACACTCACCTGGACAAGGGCTGGGCTCGGCAGGAGGCTTTGTCCAAGGTCGATGGCTGGAGGCAGAGAAAGGGGAGCCCTTGGCTGCAAAACTGAATAACGACATTTGTAAATAGACACAAAGAAAATCTCATTAAAATCAGACTGCTAAAGCTGGTCGAGCTCAAGGCTACGCAATGACAGCGCTCAGGAATGAAATCCCTGCCATCCGGAGCGGCGCAAGGAGCTGCACAGAAAGGAGCTGCTGCAAATGTGCAAATCCCTCCCCACAGGGCAGCCTGGGCTCGGGATTTAAGGCAATCTCCTCCTCCCTGTATAGATGGTTTTCACTGCCAAAATGTCTTTGGAAGTATTTTCCTCCTCTGCCCTCCAGGATAACTCAAGGACTACTCGACAGCGCTGCCACCAGTTTGGGACAAGAGGATTAAACTTCCGTACGGCTGCTCAGGGAGGCTATGCCCTTCCAAGGCGGTTGAGATGGTTCTCCTGATGGCTCTGAGGGAAAAGGGCTGAAAGAAAACATTTCACCAGCTTCACATCTTTTATATCCAGTCTCTGTCCCATAAATCAGGCTCCAATGAAAGCGGGGATGTTGATTAAAATTCTTTTAATATGATAAGATGTTCTTAATCAAAAGAAAAATCAAGAAATGCTCAGCTATTCACATCCAGCTTAAACATAGCAGTAGCTCTTAGTCCTGCATAAATAGCTTCACTCCAAACCATTTATAGTATACACAAAATTAACAATTAATTGCTTAAGAAAAACAGAAACAGCATCACTTGACTCCTACAATTAATCATTTCACATACATACAGGTTTCTTTGTTTTTCAACTTTTTCAGCTTCCACCATTTCAGCAGACACCTGCAACAAATTAGCACCCTGCCTGTAACTACACACATGTATCCCATCCCAGTTGTATGCACATCCCACACTCCTTTGGGAAATACGAAACTTAATATAGGAATCCAGTCTGGGAAAAAAAAATCCAGTCTGGAAAAAAAACGCAGCGAATGAGGCCACCTAAACATCCCCAGTTCTGCTTGCTGTGTAGTAAAAAGGAAAATTGTAATGCTGTTTAACAGACAACGCCGCCCTCCTGAACCCACTCGATAAAGCACCAGGAAATAACACAACACTTGAAGTTTTAATGCTGTGCCAGGTTCTGAACAAGGAGTTCCTAAGCCTTTTAAATGCAGCCCAAAAAAAAGGCACAGTGAAATAACCTCGTATTTCAATTAATGGGCATACACAATCACCATCAGTATTTAAATATAATGTTAGCAGAAACTCAAATCCCCCTAAATTCATCTTTTGTTATGATGTCTTTTTTCTTTCCAGAGATTAAGTATCAATACAGCTACCTATAAAAACAACTTGCAGTTTCTTCAACCTAACAGATTTTTTTTTTCCCTTAGATATAAAATTCCCTATGTTTTGACTATAAGTGAAGCAGAAAAGATTCCTAAATGCTATTTAAATATTAACATGCCTATTAAACAACAAATGGAAGCAATACTGAGAAATTCTGTCAACAGCAGAAGGACAGGTATCTAAAACTGCTCCTTTGGTTCACTAATTTTTCTCCTTTTTGGCAGCACGTCTTGACTAGAGGAGAGTTCAAATTGATGAACCTGTCAAAGAAGAATAAACATTATGTTAGGGGCTGCTCCTCCACACAAACTCTGGCCTGCTCCACTGCATATTTGTAATGCACATGAACCTGAGGTTGGAAGTAAATGATCATTACATACTCTAACGGTGATAAATGTTCCCAAAGAGGAGGTACAAAGAAATACAGGGAAGTGATCAGCCAGGTACCATGGCAAGTTCCTCACCGAGCAGAGGGTGTGACACCAGGTCTATAGACCAAAGGATCTCCTCGGCCTTGAAACACTAAAGCTGCCAAGGTCAGTTGGTAATAACTCGGCAAGACACACAGAAATGATTGATTTTTCTTGGTATGAATGAGCCACATCTGAGGTTAGAAATACAGCTCTGTGTTTTCCAAGTAAAATCACTGGTGATCATATGCTCTGCCGAGATCTCTGCTGGAATGTGCTCATATTGACAATGCATTAAACCAGCAGGGAATTTGGCTAAACCCATTCTCAGGGAAGTCAGTCAGTCCTAAGGACTGTGTCTCAACTGCTGGAACTACCCTAATGCTGCGCTTTTAACTTTTTGGAAGAGACTTTTTTTTTTTTGACACTAGGAATTCAAAGGTTTTGAAGCTAATGGGAATTTTGTAAGCAATGGGAAGTTTTCTTTTGACATGTATTCTATTAACAGTTTTAGTCTCCATTTGGAAAAAAAAAAAAAGAAAAACAACTTTAGAAGAGCAAAAAGGACAGATATAAAACTGATACTAACAGTGTTGGTTTGAAATATCTTTCCACTTCTTGTCCTGCTCTCTGACATGTGAAGTTCAGACGTCTTATGTGCTAAATGATCAACCTAGAGCCATAAAACAAATTATTTGCCTTATCACAGCAGCAAAATAAATATTTTAGAGGCAACTCCAAGGTTCAGCTCCCTCTCCACTCCCCACAGCACTCGAACTGAAATTCAGGCACATCAGTCCTGAAGTCAACAGTTTGCAGCTAGATGTGTTCAGCTGCCCTGTCACATTGAAGCATCAATGATATTTATGCATTAAGTCACTTGCAGATACTTGGGGTTATTTTGCATAAGATGTTTTTGCATAAGACATCTAAGGACTTGTGTTTGAAGTAGTGCTCCATGCCTCAATTGCACAGTTCTGCTGCGTTCATGAAATACAGTCTGTTTTGATCATTACTTAATAACTACATTTATCTTAGGCTCTAATTAACTTTTAATCAAGTATTTTGGTCTATATGAATTTGAACAGGAAAATTTCCATTAGGAAAGGTATTTAACTATGACCATTCTACACACATGGAAATTATTTTCCTAGTTCTTTTACTCAGGTCATCCATTTGTTTTGAAGACAATTTCTACACAAGAAAATAACAGCCTTTTGTTATTGCTTTTGGTTAACCCTTTAGTGTGTCTTTTGTGTGTGTGTATAACCGAACAGTAAAATAAAAGCACAATTTACTTTTGAAAAATCTGTAAATAAATACAGTAAATAAACTTTCAGCAGATTATCTGCTAATTGATGGTAACCCAAAATATAAAATGCAAGCAACAAAGCTCTTGGAAGAAAACATATGTGGGCAGAAAGAGTATTGTCTGCATACCTGAGGAATGGAAACACTGGGATTTCGATTCCCTTCAGCCTTTGTAATTTCATCCTCCTCACATGTTAGATTTGGTTCTAAGATTAAATAAAGGACACAGCTAAAAATGCAATAATAGCAACTTCATTTTGACACAATATGCATTTTAAAATAGCAATAACGAGGCATTTTAGAAAGGCTCTCCTCTAGTTAGCTACTTGCAAGCAGCTAACTTGATCAAACTCTCTTTTGTTGAACAGCTCCATTTCTCATTTATATGATTTCTTATCAGAGACATTTACACTACCCAGCATGTACATGACACATCCTTGGAGGAGTGTGCTTGATCCAACTCTTCTTCATACACAGTCCTGGTAGAAGGTTTGTTCTCTGTGTTTCCCTCCCAAACAAGAGGCCTCGCTGGCTGTTCAGCTCATCTGTGCAGCCCTGCATGGCTGCCCGGGCACAGCTCCTGCAAGCCCATGGCCAGCAGATGGCTCCCATTTTGTCACTCAGCCAGGCTCCACAGAGCCCCTTTGGCAGCTCCCTCATCACTGTGTGCAGCTGCACAAACAGGCCGCAGGGACAAGGAAGGAAGAAGGAGCTGTTAGTTCTGGGGAGTTTGGGCTTTTAACCCATGCAGGTTGTTTCTAGAAGCACAAATGGGCCAAAGATGACAACACTTCAGCCATGGAATAGGCTTTATCAAAGAACTTCTTGTGTAACATCAGAAAGAGGCACAAACTGAAAAGAATACATGTATTTTACCTTCAGCTTGTGAAGTATCTACATTTTTCCCATCTTCCCCTTTACTATCCAAGACAGGATCTTCCTAGGTTAAAAAAAAAAAAGGTCCATCACTTACTGCACACAAATAAGAGCTCTGCTCACAGATGCTTAGAGCCACATCTTATCAGGTGGACTCAGTGAAATAAACTGCATTAAAATAATTGAATCTAATATGAAACATACAGACCAGCTCAATGTTACTTAACTAGAAATACAGCCATACATTTAACTCACTTATCAAGAAACAGATCTATTCAAACTATGAAAAACATAACAACAGATATTAAAGCTATCGGTGCACCCATTACCACCCCTATATTGCCCATGAAACAGTGTAATAGGTTACCGTGTCCAAATACAACATCTGAACATACCAAACACACTACTAAGAATCTATCAAGAGATCCAGCAGAAGGATTAACAGCCCTACGCTGAAATATGGATCGCAAAACACTTCAGTGCATTACATAAAACATGTGAGGTCTTACATTCGTGCTTTGCTCTTCGGTATCATCTTTGTCCAGTCTGAGCACCTGCAGGGGTGCACTGGTGTCCCCCTGCTTTAGGATGCTTTTATCAACATTTTCCATTCGTTGTTTTTCAGTTGTCACTTTAACTTTCAGCATGTGAAAAGGCGTTGGCACTTCGCCCACATTCAGATACATTGGTTCGCCCTCAAATATCATGCCCTCACATTCACCTTCCTTAAAGCCAGGAGGCTGGTAATCAGGTGGTGTAACTGCAGAAAGGAATTGAGGAAATGCTAGGTTATAATGAAGCATATTCTTTCGGAAGTCATATTTGTGCAAAGGAAATATTGTTCTCTTTAAACATAAAAAAGTAGTCAAAAGCAGCTGTCTTGGGGAGGAAGGGTATTATCAATATTTATTTTGTACTAAATGAAGTTCTCTTCCCCTACACAGTAGTATCAACTACCAAATCCTAGCAACCCTAAAGACTTTATATGAAAGTAATTCTTTAAATTGTTTCCAAATGCCTGGGAACACACTTAATAAATCAAGAGAATATGGAAAACACCACCTTCGTCATAATAAAACAGCTTCATAGTCAAGCAAACGTCATTTGGGAGCGGGCCCAGATTTTGCATGAGCACATAGATCTTGCGAAGGAGGAGGATGCTCGCTTTCTTTGTGTCCGCACATGTGATGCTGGAATCATTCCGTTTATTCTTACTGAAAATGGACAAAATATTCAGATCCTTTATATATATAATATATAATAGTATTTGTATACCATTCAGTTTACTGAATGGTATTTGTATTAAAACATACAACTGTTTGGAATGTATGTTAGAAGCAGCTCTGAGCAAGCTGGTTTTACTCTTTTAAAGATCAAGATTGTAAAACCACAGAATAGAAAGATGATGAGGTGAAAATACCTGCTGAAGTCCAGGAGGGGGCCGTTGTGGGTGTATTTGAATTTGAAATGGTAACATTCTGTAACTGTCTACAAACAAATACAATAATTACTGAATTATCAGTTTTTAACGTGAAATATATGCCACTGCTGCTGTTAACCTATTAACCATGGTCTTTTTTTTTTTTTTTTTTTAATACATATTAATAGCTCCTAACTCCTTTTTATGAGCAGCCTTCTAATGTTGTATCATCCATACACTATAAGAATATTGTCAATGATCGTTTCTACTTCTCCCAGGAATTACCAGATTCCATTCAGATTTTAATCACTACAAAAACATCTCATGCACATGACAGAGATATGCTGACACCCAGTGGCAACTTAAAACATAATTTATTCCCCCCAAAGAAGTTTCATATATTAAGCAGGTTTAGGAAGATGCGTCCTTCATAGGCTCCACAAGAACATTTGCAGTCTCCCTGCCTTTCCTGAGAATAGCCTGATACTAGACACTCATGCACAACACACTACACTGTAGTTCTGATTAGCTCTAGTATTCTTTTATTTATAAGTCTTTCTTTCAACATGGGTACATGCTATGGCCTATATTTCACTGTAAGGATGAATTAGAAGGACCACTATTAGTCATCAAATAAAATATTGTCAGGTTTACCTGTGGATCATCTGGATGAGTGTAGACCTGAATTTTTAAAACAAAGGCAAGAAACAATTTTAAAAACTGTAGAATATATAAGTATTTACTTTCAAATGTGGGCCATGCTTTTCAGAGATACTTACTGCGAGGACAATCATCCTTAGCTGTTGGGAACATCATTAAAGAGAGGAAAAAAAAAAAAAAAAGAAAAAAAGAAAGAAAAAGCAATGCATTAAACATTTCATAGACCACTACTTGCTTATTTCTTTAGCTCTGCAAGCCAATATAAGCCACTACAGTCCTGTTTTAAGCAAGCTTTTTATATGCTTAATTCCTGACCTGTAAAAAAGTACTTGCTCAAATCACTGAAGGAAATTCCTAGTTTCCCAGGCTTTAAAGTGTTTTTGCTTCCAAAGAGCATCTTCCTGAAACATGTGCACCCCACATACTGTAACATCTTAAAGCACAGTCCAACAGCTATCGCAGCTGCTAGTAGAATTATGTAAATTAATGTTTCAATACACTTATAGTGGAAGACTTACATATTTCTTCTGCAAGGCATCATAGCATCCTAACATCCTGCAAAAAATCAAATCAGTAGATTGATATCTACTACTCATTTCCCTTTGCTTCTGATTAAATATTCTCACAAAATAACTTTTTGTGTTTAGTCTTAATAGTATATTACAGAAGTAATAAACACTTAATTCCATTATTCTTTTTATCAGTAGTAGTAGATACAAAGTAATTACTATCTCTGCAACACCCCAAATCATCCTAATCTCTTTGCAGATTATCTGTAAGTAAATAACTTGTAAGTATGAGCCTAAGGTAATTGTATACCTATTATTTTCAAACACTTTCTAACATGTGTTCATTAATCAGTTCATAAAATTTAATTCCTTCAATTGAATATGGTCATCTCTGAAGCACAAAGGAGTTCCATTACTGCTTTTATTCATGTTACAGTTGACTTCTGGTTCAACAAAAATACGCAAGGAATGCACAACTGTCAAACTAAAAAAACAAAAAAACCAAAAACCACAAACAAAAAAAACCCTTACCCTAATTTTTGCTAWCTTTTCCTTATAACATAGAAACAAGCACAATCACTTTTTTCCACATACACATGCCACCAAGTGAAGAAATGCGGCTTATCTGGGAGCTCCCAACACACCCTTCCTGCAGAAAGCGTGGCCTTTTCTGCACCCACAGCAATGCCACGTCACTGCCCTCACTAGAGCTTGCTGTGTGAGTGTGAAGTGACAGCCACTCGGTGCCACAGCTGAGCATCAACTAAGAAATTCCAGGTTACAGCGAGGCGCTTGCCCTGAGAGCGCCAAGAGTGGATGACCCAGGTGTACCTTTACATCCCAATTCTGACAGGCATCTGTGGGGCTGCAAGCCCCCTCTGCTGAAAGCAGCATCATTTCTGAGGCTTGGCCTCGTGTCCTGAGCAGAACGAGTGTGAAAAGGCACCTGCTGTTTCCACACCTGCATGGGTCACAACGCAGGGGTGAAGCACGGAGAACACCATGAACCCTTCTCTGCCATTACTGCAGGGAAAGAAGCAAGTAAACAAAAGCCCCAAAATAAGCAGGTGTCCCTGTTTGAGCAGGGTGGTTGGGCTAGATGATATCTAGGGGTGCCCTCCAACCTCAACTATTCTGTGAAATAAGAATTCCTGGTCTCAACTGTCACGTTTACACTCAGCTTTGTGAACAGACAAGTGCACCATTTGCAGACAGAACGCTGCTTTTTGGTGCTGCTTTTCCTTAAACAAACCTGAGAGCAAGACCTTCAAATACAAGATAAAAGGAAGGTAATCGGTTTAACTTCCATGAAAACACCCATATTCAGCTATAAACACTTTAAAGTTGTTGCACAGCCACTGGAACTACATACCATTTCACCAGCTGAGTTGATCCAGGACAGTTTTTATCTTCCCTCAAAATTTTGACACATAGATCTTGAGACAAACAAAAACAAACAAATAAAAACTTACAAATATTTTGCTTATGCAACTACAGCATTAAGAAAGCAAACTTCACTCTCTAAAACGCTATGCCAAAGAACAGACTAAAATTAAATTACTTACAAGTTTAGGCCTAATTTTAACTGCTAAGTCAGCTTCACCACTATCTTTAATAAAACCCAGCAATGACTGTATTACCACTTTCAACTGCTGTAACAAAACTTTACTATCATCTTTAATTTGAAAGAGCATGGGACTTCAAAAGCATTCATTTGAGCTTTGCCACATCCCTACGACAAGAGACTGTGCAGAGGAATCTCCAGAAGAGCTCGTTACCATCCAAGTATCTCGTTCCATAGGCGCTTTCAGGGAAGATTCCTCTTAGATACGTAATGCAGGAGACAGCTACTGCGAGGAGCCTCTTCACTAGTATCAACGATTGCTGTTCCGTAGATATTTTATTAGGAAATACAACTGCATTCTAAAAGTAAGAGGAAAGTAAATATTAGTCTCCTAGTCTCTGACACAGTAGGCTTTTGTTCACATTTGGAAACAAATGAAAAATGATTTTTTCCTCACTAGCACGCTACACACTCTTCCCTTATGCAGAACATAAGTAATCCTTATGCAGCAATAAGCTGCATATAAGCAATCCTTATGCAGTCAATCCTCTTATGCAGCAATGCTCACCTTGCGTCACATCCACCACTGCAAACCTGCGCAGACCACAACATGGTCTACTGCCTATTTAACCTTCTAAGTTAACAGCCAAGTACGACTTGCAACATTCACAAAGCTAACTTTGGGCTTCATAAAGCTAACTTTAGCTACTTAACAGTTTCTATTACTACAGTCTTAGGACACAGATTTCTACCAAAGATACAGCTGATTTCTACCAAACATATTAACTGATTTCTACCAGATGTCTGACCACAAAATTCAAGCTCTTTTCACAGAATCATAAAGGTTGAAGGGACCTTTAGAGAATCACCTAGGATCACAAAGAATCATTTTTGCTACTAAATGTTTCTCTACTCATTCCTTTACTAACCATCTCTTAGGTCAGCCTTCCTTTTCAAGAGCATAAAGCTTACCCAGTACCTAAAGCCTACGTTTTTCCCCTCCCGAAGTAATACATAGTGTTGAAACACATCGTAAAATCATACCATCGCACTCCTTTGCTTCTGAGCCGTTGCCATTTTGCCGATACTGTTGTCTGATTAAAAATAAATAAATAATAATAAACTGCACTGGAAAATGTGCCACCATTATTCACCAGCATACACAATACCAGATTGCAGTCAGTTTTAACAGGTCAGTCCCTATGAACCTTCTCGCACAGTGAAGCTGCTCAAGATTCATTTAAGAACTGGCAGTGTTAGGTTCCAAACTTTCACTTCAAATTGTTGAGGAAAAAGCTGCCACCATGGCTGCATATGTGCAGCACTGGTTGAGCAGAGTGCAGCTGCAGTCCAGCCACCTCCTCCCTGGAGCGCAACATCTGCGCAGGCCTCCCACAGCTTCACAGTGGTCCCTCATTAAAGCATCGTGCACTCGCATAGAGCGTGAGCCTTTGAAAGAGATGCTCTAAGTATGAGCTGGCACTGAGCCTGAGCAACCTTCAAAGGTCCCTAGAAGATACTCTCCACCCTGGAGCCTAAGCAAGCAGATGCCCTTTACTTAGATCCCCACCAGCACAGCTACCTCAGGGCTCAGCAGTGCAAAATGTCCACTATATAGCCCCTTTTCCAGGATTATCTGCCACAGTGAAAGAGGTCTGCCATGTCGGTGAGCAAAATGACCATCTGCAACTAGGGAACAACCAAGGAAAGGGGAACAGAAGACAGTAAGTGTGTAGAAAAGGGCCATCCCCTGGCTTATCACGAAGAGGAAGGAATAAATAAATAAATAAACCTGCAGAAGGCCAAGGGCCACACAGGGAAGAAAAACGCCCAGATCTGCGGACAAAAGGAACCTCCCACACAATCTCAACACCCCCAACACCCCTCACGCGCTTGCCGCTTCGGCGCGGCCTCTGCTTTTATAAAGTGGGGAGGGGTCCGTGAGCAAAAGGGGCGGAGCTCCCGCGGGCCCGGCCCGCGCCGCAGCGGGCCGTGCGCAGCGCCGCCACTTCTCCCCCAACGGCCGCGCGAGGGCCGTGCGCAAAGCTCGGTTCCCTGCGTCCCCCCACACCCGTTTTTCTTGCAATTTTTGCCCCTTTTTGATTTCCCAGTCCTGCCCTTTTCCTCTCAGCGCCCCAGAAAGAGAAAAAATGTTAATGGTAATAATATCTGCCCCTTCATGCCTCTCTCTGGACCCCCTTGGTGTTCCTCGTGCCCTCTCTCCTGAGCTTTCCATCCCACAGGTGAAAACTTGCTTGTTTTACCCCCTTTTTTGTACCCGAAAGAAAGATTTTATCACCCCGTAGCTATTTAATGAGCAAAAGGTTAATATATATTACTCTTGCCATCCACCTACACAATGCAAGTCAGGCGGAGCTCTCTACACAATGGGTCCAACAGCGTTTTCACTCTTATTTTATTTTTCCAAGGATTAGATTCATCTGGGGACATGCAGGAGAGAGAGACCAAGTACAGGACTTTCAGACAATGATGCCGATCTTTATTTTTTTCAAAGAAAGTCTGCAATTTCAGCTACATTCATAGCGCGATCATAGAGTGAAATCTATGTCGTGGTGGCTGTATTCAGGGCTGGAGAGGAGAACCTGCAGATATTGCAGTTTCACTTGAAAAAAAAAAAAAAAAAGGCCTTTTCCCTCACTAAAGAGCATGCAGTAAATGCCTGTAAATCATTTTCCAGGATCCTTCCATTGCTCCCATGCAATGCTTCCCTTGCTGCCTGTAACACAGACTTTTCCAACAAGTGGATTTTACTCATAAAGACAAACAAACAAACAAAAAAAAATCATTCTTGAAGGCAGTAGATTCATGCAAGCAAAACATCATAGTTCAGTTAGCATCTCAAAAGTCCGCTTTGCAGCCAAGACTCTGTCTATATCAGTGGATAAGAACCATAACTGGCAATCCCGCAGTGATTTCCATGATTTCTGGCCATCCGGATGTAGCCCTTGTCACCGAAGTGCACACCCCAGCTTTGCAAAGAAGGGAAAAATCAGCCAGATGTTAGGAAAAAAAAAAWTTTTCCTGCAACTGACATGCAGCCTTATCAACAGCGCAGTGTTTTTGCTGTCTTTTTCCTAGAAGTTTCTACAGGAAAGCGATGAAGCAAAACCATTCAGACCTCCTTGTTTCTGGGATACTGTTTTGATTAAGAGTTTTGTGAATTTTAAAGTCTGCATGAGGTTACTACAGCACCTTCCAATAAGTCTGCTATAAATAAAGGAAACTTTAAAGTGAGTTTGAGTGTATTTTAAATGTATCTAAAGTTCCTTAACAATAGTGGGATATCCTAATAGTGCCTTGATAGGGTGAAGCCTGAATCCCTAGAGAACACGTTAACATCCACCTATATACCAATTCCCCTTAGTCAAGCATCTCCCTCCAAATCGGTGCTTTTACCTGTTTTTCACGAGCCAGTAATCCTTCCCATTGAGAGTGCCATAACCGATGACAACCACTCCGTGGTTCACCTCCTGGGTGCACCGGGGGTCATCATACACACCTGAAAATAACGTCAAAAAAAACCCACCAGATTTGGGGAAAGCGTGCCATCGGACTGGGTCTCTGCATAGGCATCCTGGTAGGATTGAGTTCCTCTGCCAACATCCTTGTTGCTGATAGCACTCATGTTAACATCTTCATGTAGCAGTGAAGCCAAAGCTTGCCAAACTCAATCCAGATTTAAATTTTGTGGGGTTTATGTTCAGTAAAACAGGCAAAACACGTCCACAAATAGGCGTAACTTTGAGTCAAAGGACATACCTGACCTGTACAAGAAGAACGTTGGCTGTGTGGCATCTATGGCGACCGACACGGGTCCGATGTTGGCCACGGCATCCTTGAGGGCTGCTTCATCAGCGTAGGGGAGCTCCACATACTTGGAGCAGGTGGCAGCTCGTGTGGAAACGTTATACTGGCACGTCCCATTCTGCTGAGAGCGAGAGGGACGGGAGGAGAAGACCCTGTGGCTCCATGGGAACATTGGTGCTTTTTGCCAGCCCTCTTTTGCTATGCACTACCCTACAGAATAAGGGCTCGATGGGACTATCTTGCCCAACAGCCTTCCCCAATCACCAGAACACATGAAAATGTTTTGGCCAAAATCTCCACCTTTTTGCTAGAAACCTTCAGCAACAGCTTTTCTGTCGCTTCCGCAGAGATAGTCGTCACTTCCCATCAAATCCTCCTGGTGTTCAACCTCTATCCCAAATGACGCTCGTGGCATCTCCTGTCCATTCCAGACAGGATCAGCTCCTTGGGAATAACCCAGGGAGGAGAGCAGGAGCCAGGGGTCCAACCTTGTCTCCACTCTGCTATGCAGCACGACTCCTCCAACTATATCAAGATGCAAATGTGTAGAAATCCCATCTTTAAAGCCCTTCCCCTGTGGATTCCCTGCACACCAACCCGTGCCGTGTAGGGGTAGGAGGCGTCCGAGTCAATTCCCTTGTTGTCAATGATGTACTGGAAGGCTCTGGTCATGAAGCCGCCGGCGCAGCCCTTGTTGCCGTACGGCATGGAGCAGTCCACGAGGTTCTGAGCACTCAGGGACATGAGCTCGCCTGTCCTCAGCTTCACCTGCGCCTCGAGGGCGCCCACAGCGCTGAAGGCCCAGCAGGCCCCACAGGCACCCTGCAAACCCCAAGGACGTGCTGAGCGGCACCTGGGGCACCCGGGGGGAGCAGGGGGACACGGGGGAGGCCGCACCTGGTTCTTCACAGGTGTCACGCAGTCCTTCTCACGCCAGTCCATGGCGGCCGGGGCTCGGCCGCCGACCCACGGGCGCCACGATGAGCTGCGGTTTTGAGGCGTTGGAGCCTCCAGCCCTGACAGCAGAGCGGCCACTTCCTCGCTACTCTGGCGGGGGAAGCAAAGGGGCTGAGAAAACGAGCTGTTGGAGTAAGCAGATTTGGGGGAGATCTGCCCCATTCCCCACCCCTTTGTGGGGAGAGACGTGTATAAAACGGAAAGGCTGAACTTGGGCACACTTCCTCCAACAGCACTGCAGGGCCCAGGGATTGTGATTCCCGACTGGAGAGCGTGAGCAGGTCCAGTCTCTACACCCCACTACTGCATTGGGCAAGAGGGATTTCCTCACGCCATGTTGCCTCATGGCAGCAACATCCTTGGCACTCGYTGCCATGCCCGCTGGAGAGCAGGCAGAGAGGATGGACCGAGAAGGGTGGCAGGCATTTTTCCCGCTCCTGACCCAATTAAAGTCTTCGTTAATCACCCTGGGGCTGGTGACAGAGAGGGACCCTGCCACAGTGACACCTACCATGTCGGCCAGGTGGTTCATGGCCAGCTCGTAGGAGTGTAGCCCCAGTGAGCTCTCCAGGTTGTGCAGCGTCACCAGGCGCAGGTTGCTCTCCCACGTCGCGCGCCGCTTCCCTTCCTCCTGCTGCGAGCAGAGCCGGCGCCGGCACCGCCGTGATGGCCACGGCAGCCCCACAGACACCTCATTTCATCCCCATGCCGGGATTCTTCCCAGCTAAATCCCTCTGGGAAGCGGCCACGCATCCTGCCTGAGGCTGCTCTCCCTGCTGTGGTGCCTGAGCGAGGTGGGAGCAGCCCCCACGCCACCCTACCTGGTTCCGATACTCCTTTCCATGGATTTTCTTCCAGAGCTGCCAGTGCCGGTCGAGCGTGGGGTCAGGGTCTTGCAGCGCTGCGGCCAGCACGGCCAGGAGGGCTCCGCATGCCAGCACCTTCATCCCGCTCTCCCGGGCCCGGTGGAGCCACAGCGAACGCGTGGCTGCGTGTGGAGGATGAAGGATCCGCGCCGGAGCCGGACCGCGCTTGACCCCTCGCTGACAGATCCGGTTTGGTGAGGGGCGGGATGTCCTCACCTCACACGCCCTTTGTGGGATTCCTGCAGCAGGACATGCCAGGGTGCCCGTCCCACCTTCCCGGCCTCGCTCCACATTGCCCGCCCCGACAGAAGCTCCATGCCAGGAAACCCCATCCGGACCCAAAGCCCTGGGGAGCAGCCTGCCGGGCCGGGCGCTGCCCGTGTGGACATACGGGGCGCCCTTCATACCCCTGGCCTGGGGCTCTGGGACAGACCAAAATTATCCACAACCCTGAAAAGCAAAAATTCCTCTTTGCGCCAGGCTGTTCCCCACCCACTCCCGGCCTCAGACCACAAAAGCCTTGGAGGAGATGAGAGATAAAATGGAGTCACGTTCAGCTCGTAAACACCGTTCCTTCAGCCTCGACTTCCTCAAAGCTCCCTTATCCTGCAGCAGAGCTAAAATCCCTGGTACCTGGGCTGCTGCCTCCGCGCGGGCTCTGGGCACAGCTCTCACCTCCTTAGTGGCCGCGGGCGGCAGGCACAGAGCTGCTGTCCCCTGCCCCACGCGCACCGGTGTCCCCACGCGCTCTGTCCCACTGCCCTCGGCTGGCAAATCACATGAGCGAGGAAAGGAGGAAATGCTCTGATTTCACTTTCGCGCAGCCGGCGCTCGTGTGGTTCCTCGGAGCAGCCGCTCTGTTCCCGCTGGCTCCAGCTGAGGCCGTTTGCTGCTCCCAGCTGGCAGCAGGGAATGGGGCTCCCCATGGGGGGCACTGCATTTCTAGAGCAGGGAGACCATCTCAGGGCGAGCACGGACCCCCCAGGCAAGGCCCTAGGAGCAGACCCCAATCCCACCTCAAGTCATCGTCCATCAGCCCAACCCAAACAGCTCAGAAAATCAGATTTAGTCACTGTGCTGGGATGAAGCTGAAAGGGGAGGACAAACTTTGAACGTCCCGATGGCCTGGAGTGGAGCTGGCTGCATCAGCGCCCACCCAAGCAGCGTGAGCTGCATTTATTGCACATTGTACTGCAGGTAGCACAATGCGCCAGCACTGGCAACAGCTGGAAAATCCTGTGCCAGAGCATCCTGCGGGACCCTGTGCAGCAAGCGAGGCTGAAGGTACCTTTCTCAGTGCCGCGAAGCTGCTCGGCTCAAAATGGCCATGAGAAACTGTCTACGGGGAAGAGGAAGAGGAGGCAGAACAGGGTCATGCTCTCACAACAAGCAACTGAGTCATCTTCCATGAGGCAGCTGTGGCTACAGAATTGCGAGAGCTGCCCGTGGTGCCCGGCGCCTAAATAACTGCAGTCGTTCCTGCTGAAGGATCCCCTGCGAGCGGATCCTGTGGAGGGTGGATGCAACAGCTGCACTTAGCAAGATGCTCAAAATGCAGCTGGATCCCTAAATAAGAAAAACTTGAAGCAGATCCGCGTGCTTGAGACTTCCCCCCCATTTCTCGAAGCAGCCTCATCTCATCTCTGTGCTGCAGAGCTGCTCAACCTTCCTCACCAAATGGACATCTTTTACCCTAGAGAGGCCCAAACCCCCTAAGTGCCTCCTTGACCCTGCTGGATTTTGCTGCTGGTAGCTCCAGCTGGGAGGGCAGGAGGAGAGGAATCTTTCCTGTGCACTGGAGTGAGCTGAAGCCACGAGGAAAATACTAGGCCCAGGCCTGCAGGCTGGTTCTGGGTATATATGTATAAATGAAAGGTTTTGCTTGAGGGGGGGAAATAAAAAAAAAATAATAATTTTAAAAAAAGGCAGTTTTGAGGTGTAAACAGCGCAAAAAAATTTGTGCTCCTTGACACAGTGTCTCGGACAGGAGGATCTCCAGAGGTGGCGCCAGTGCAGCCTTGGATCTGGGCCGGGATGCTGGGAAATGCTGCCTCTTGGCTCTGGCTTGGCGTCTAGCACCATTCCAAATGCCGGGATTTCCTGCAGCGCGGAGAGCTCCCAGCACCACACGGACTCGGGTTTCCTGGGCTCAATTCAGGGCGTTTGGCGTCGCTCCTGCAACACAGCTGTAGGCAGGGCTGAGCGTACGAGCAGGGCGCTCGTGGCAGGTGCCAGCAGGCACCAAACGCCCTTGAGTCAGGGGCGATGCTTCCGTCCTCGCCTCTGGCATCGTGCAGGGATCCACACCGTGCCTGGGTCTCCTCTCCTGCCCTCGGATGCAAGGGGAAGTTCTGCAGCGGACAGCGGCTCCGTGTCGAGCGTCGACCTCTTGGGGTGCCCGGAGGCTTCACTTACCGTGTTGGCCAGGTGGTTCATGGCCATCTCGTAGGAGTGTAGCCCCAGCGAGCGCTCCAGCTTGTGCAGCGTCACCAGGTGCAGGTTGCTCTCCCACATCGCACGCTACTTCCCTTCCTCCTGCTGCGAGCAGAGCCGGCCCCAGCACCGCCGCGATGGCCACGGCAGCCCCGCAGACACCTCATTTCATCCCTGTGCCAGGATCCTTCCTGGCTAAATCCTGCTGGGAAGCAGCCATGCATTCCGCCCAAGGCTGCTCTCCCTGCTGTGGCTGGTGCCAGTGGAATGCAAGATCAGGATGTCCCAGTGCCCTTCCCAAGCCCTTACGGCCCCTTGTGATTTTGTCCCTGTCTGTAGTTAAACGCCCAGGTGGAAACCTCGCTTGTCCCTGAGTGTTTTCCCTTGCAAGCAGAAGGAGCAGGACAAGCGCAGAAGCGAGAAGACGCCTCAGCTCCCTGCTGCGATTGCAGCCCACACATGAGGATTCGCCCTCGTTTCCCTTTCTTTTCTCACTCTCAACAACCTCGATGCCCCTGCGGCTACTCCATCCCATGCCGGGGAGACCGCGAATCCAGGGGCACCCACCAGCTTGGTCACCTGCTTCCACTTTTAGTGCTTCCTCGCGCTAAAAGGAGCACTAGGATTTGGGGTCAACCCTGTGCCGGGTTGTGGTTGCAAAATAGCCCCAAATCTGCAGGGATCTGCAGAGTGGCCACCGGGCATCTCCACCACCCTCCTTCCCCACCACCCCCGTCTACCTGCCGCTTTCTTGGCAAAGGGAAGGAGAGAGCCGAGTGGCCTCAGCTTTTCATCCCAATAGGGTTTATTTTCCACACGAGCCGCCCTGAGGGCCTTCAGGCAGCRTTCACATCTTGGGGAAGCTGGCAAGGTTGGCGACGCCGCAGGTGTTGTCCCGGTTGCGTGCCAGCAGCACGTAGCCCTTGTTGCCCCACTCCTCACCCCAGCTGTGGGGAGAAAAACCCTGAGCTCTCTGGCAGAGCCTTGGCCCCCCAGCCCCATGGCCCCTGGCACTACCTGTTCTTTATGATCCAGTACTTGGAGCCCTTCTGGGTGCCATAGCCCACGGCCAGCACTGCGTGGTTGATATTCTGCCCATTGCAGCTCTCATCATAGTAGACACCTGCAGAGAGGGCGAGGAGCTGGTGACGGGGATAGCCCACAAGCCCCCGTGCCCTCCGGAGCAGCAGCCTCACCACGGCTGTAGAACTGGAAGGAGGGCAGGCTGGCGTCGATGCCCACGGAGACAGGTCCCACACGGGCCACCGCCCGCTTCAGAGCCTTCTCGTTGCCCTCAGGGATCTCCCGGTAGCCACGGCACTTGGCCGCCTTCCCGCTCGGGCTGTACATGCAGCTCTCATCCTGCAAGTGCCGGCAGTGGTGAGCACAGCGCGGGAGACGGTGCCGGCTCCCTCCGCACCGTGTCCCCTCACCTGGCCAATGTAGGGATAGGCATCCTCGGAGTCGATGCCGCGGTTCTGCCGCACATACTCGAAGGCGTTGGTCATGTAACCGCCTCCGCAGCCGTCGTTGTTGCTCACACAGTCAACGAGGTTCTGGGGGCTCAGCGCGAGCAGCTCACCTGTCCTGCGCTTCAGCTGCCCCTCGAGTGCGCCCACCGAGCTGAAAGCCCAGCACGAGCCGCACTGGCCCTGCAGGGACGCTTAGTGACACGGGGGACGCACCGTGGTGGTGCTCCACGGTCACGCCGGTTTTGCTGCCGGGGCCGCCCTGCTCACCTGGTTCTTCACAGGTGTCACGTAGCCCTTTTTCCTCCAGTCCACAGCGCCTGGGACCCTCTCAGACCCATGGTCCATGTAGAGTGTCTCGTTGTGCTGCCGCCGGTCGCGAGGCACCTTGAGACCTGTCATGGTCCTCACCACCTCCTCGCTGGTCTGGTGCAGGGAGCTCAGTTGGGCAGCCCTGGCGCAGCCCCGTCCCTCCCGGCCATCCCCGCGCCGCTCACCATGTCGCCCAGGTGGTTCATGGCGAGCTCGAAGGTGCGCCGGCCCTGCGCGTGCTCCACGTTGTGCGCCTCAATGTAGCGCAGGTTCTTCTCCCAAATGAGCCGCCGTGGCAGCTCGTCTGCCTGTGCCGCGGGGGCAGCTCGTCACAGCCCCACAGGGACCTCCGCATCCCCAGAGCCCCCGCCGCGCCCCCAGGGAACCCTTACCTCGCCGTTGTACTGCTTGCCGTAGCTCTTCTTCCACAGCTCCCAGCGGGCATCGAGCGCGCGCTCAGGGCGCAGCTGGGCCATGGCCGCGGGGAGCAGCAGGGCCAACAGGCTGGGCCACCAGAGCCTGGGGACGCCAAGAGGCTGGCAGCCGGACGCTCCCCTCCCTCCCCTCCCACACGCACCCGTGTTTGGGGCCTGATCACCCTGCTTTGGGGACAGTTTGGGGGCCCATCACCCTGGTTTCGTGCTTTCAAGGCGCCTGGCTTTGGGCCAGCCACTGCCATTGCAGGAGCTCGTTCCCATTAGGGATCCCCTGGCTGTGGGGACGCCGAGCTGACCCCCTCCTTGCTCCGTGCACCCTCTCCCTAGGGATGAAAGGCAGCTGCGGCCCCTCTCCCTCCCCGCTTACCGGGACATGGTGCTGGCTGCGCGAGATGGTGTGGGCTGTGCTGGGACGCGGCTCCGCTGCTTTTATCGCTGCCGGAGTGAGGAAGTTTGGAGGCAGCTGGAAAATGTGGGCAGGCAGGCGGGCTGTCGGGGCCAGGAAGGGGGGGATTGCAGCCTTGGCTCCCTCCCGGCTTCACATGATGCTCCCAGCCGGAGCTGAGTCAGCAGGAGGTGGCGGGGCAGCCGCGGTGACGCGGCCTCCTGCCTGGGGGATGTTCTCGTGTGCTGGGGTCTTGCTCTGGGGACGCTCCCCTGCCCCCAAGTCCTGCCCTGGCACCGGGGCGGCTGCCCCAGCACCTCTGCACGGGTCGAGCTCCCGTGCGGCACTGTCGAGCGGGGCCAGACCCTCCCTGCACTCTGGGGACAGCGCCCACCCTGGATCCCCCGAGAAGGAACAGGCGCCCACAGCCCCAGCATCCCAGGGTGAAGAGGGTAGAGGTCCCACTGCAGCAAAGAGCCTTGGGGGCAGCGATGGAGTAGCCGGGCTGTCCGCAGGAACTGCAGCCCCGTCATGCAACCCCGTGCTGGAAAAGCCACCTCAGCACCTGTGCCCGGCCTGGGGACAGCGTCGGAGCAGCCCAGTGGGGAGAGGGGAGGGCCCATCCTGCGGCCAGCGCTGGGGCTGCCCCCACGGCGCCCACGGGACTCTGAGTCGGCTGCATGTGATGGGAGTGCCGGGCACGGGCTGAGCGCAGCCGGGGCCACAGGGCCGAGTGCTCCTGCAGGGAGGCGCCCAGGCCTCGCGAGGACGGCGGCGTGGGGGAAAGTGGTCCCTAACGCGTTGCAGGAGGAGCACGAGGAAGAGGAGGGCAAGGAAAGCAGCAGCTACCCCTCCCCGGGGAGGCAGCCGAGGAGGCACCAGCCCCCTCCTCCACAGTCAGGGCAAAAACAAGTTTGGAAAATAAAAGAAAAAGAAAAATATCATGTTGTAAAATCTCTGCTACACAGCGTTATTCGCAAGCTCCGCGGAGCCCCTGCCCCCCCGGCAGGGGCCCAAGCTCCCCTTTGGCACACAGTACAGGAGGATGGGAGTTGTCCAAACAGGAGGTGTCCTCGAGCGCAGGGCAGCTCCAGGGGTGCCCCTTGACCCCGCTCCTCAGCCCTACTCCCTGTCCCACTGCCAGGGCCGCAGGGCTGGGACGGGCGCTGCCTTCCCCAGTGCCGCTGGGCGCCCCGGGAGCTGCGACCACAAGCGGGAGCCGGCAGGGGACAAGGGCCGTGCACCAAGAGGCGCCCAATGCAGGTGCTGCTGGTGGCTCCAGGTCCCTGGTTAGCAAAGGAAGGGGATGGATCCAGGGCTCTTTCCAGACTCCCCCCAAGGGAGGTTCCCAGCTTCGCCTCCCGGCCTTTGAAATTTTCTTGGGAAGCTTCAAGTCTTCATTTTCCAACAAAAGTAGGAGAAAACAGGGAAAAAACACTGCAGGGCGCAGAAAATACTGAAACTCCTTCTGGTGTAGGGCATTTTGCTCAAAGCTGCCAGGGCAGATGGTACCTGCTCAGCCTCCCAAGCATCTCCGCTCGCCGCTGCTTCTTGCACTGCGCCGGCCACAATTCCAGGGAGGAAGGAGGCATTCCCAGCAGGCTTCATGCAGAGTAAAACTCACTTTCCAAGCAAGATTCCTCTTCTTTCCCTCCCCGCTCGCAGTTGCGCCAAGTTTCTTTCCAAGCTGAACTCCACAGCAACCGAATTTCCCTGCTGAAATTCGAGCAAGCATTGCCAGCGCCAGGGATATTGGTCTGTTCTTCCAGCCCCTCCATGCCCCAGGGAGGGAGAGATCAGCCAGTTTTTCCACAGAGGAAGCCAGCAGATGCAGCGTCCAGACTGAAGAAGAAACGGTGCCGCTGCCGTCCCTCGCTCGCCTCCATCTTGTGATTTAACAACTGGGTCAGTGTAGGGCAGGAGGGAGACTGGATTTAAGAGTGAACCCTGTGCTGCCAAGCACATGGTAGAAAAGACAGCTCCTCAGCTGGACCCCAAGCAAATCCAAGGCCTCTCTGTGCAGGGAACCAGACGTGCGGCTCCAAGACAAGGGAAGCCGACCTGGAAGTGGTAGAAGGGCACGTAAAGTGCAGGGTTCCTTCCCTCTGCCCTGAGCTGACAAAAGGCCTGTTGAAACTCTGCTCTACAGCAGCACAGAGCCCTAAGCTACATGCACAATATTTTTATGGCTCACAAGTGTCCTGTTCTTCACGTGAACGACATGGCCCCAAGGGAGCTCGTCTGTTCATTGCACAGTTCACAAAAAGAGGGTCCAAGCAAACAAGAACGTGCCTGCAAGCATGGGAACCTCGAGAGAAAACACCCCAAAGGGAGGCACAGCAACAACCTTCCAGAGATGGCAAAGCTTCCTTTAGCGGGCAGCTGCCAAGCAGAAAGCCTTGTCACCTCAGGAGTCTCACCCCAGTGTCCGCCAGCATCGCATCGTACAGGGTTACCGCTTGGAAGAGTTTCTTGCAATATTTAAAAAGTTACAATTCTTTGTTTTGCATTTGATAGAAAAGAGTCATGGTATAGAAGACTGAAATAAAAATGGTAAAAGCCACTTTATGGATTCAGGGAGCTGCCTGTAACACAGGCGGGGATCCCTCCTACCCACCCGTGGAGCTCAGAAGCTGCTCTGCAAACCCAGGGATATCGGTCAATTAGTGTGACTGCTCTGGTGGCACTTGAGTCCCGAAACCTCCAGGCAAAGAGTCCCCGCTGCCAGCGCCGCAGGGAGGTGCTGTCCAAAACCAGAGCAGCCTCTTCCAGCACTGGCCTTCCTTCCTGCGGGCTCCTGGGCAGAGTTTCACCTCCAGAAGGTAGAAATTGTTTATAAACTTCAGCAGTCTTTGAAAAAAAAAAAAGACTTAGATGTCTTCCTTTACACATAGGTATTATATATAGCTATATGTTACTTCCGCTAAGGCTTATTTTATTCTGAAAAAGAAGGGAATATATTTAGCTCTGGGAACTCTTCGTTGTTGTAGTTGGGTCCTTGGTCTCCCAGCATCGTCAGCATATCCTGCAGAGGTAACAAGGATGCAGTTATTCCCCAGGCCAGGGGGGCACATTGGAGAGTTAGCTGTGGACAAACCTGTCATACCAGGTGCTCTACATGACAGTCCCTTCCCCTCCTGAAGGCTACATGGGGTTTGTACCCGAGGCTAGTGAATTTGAGCTGTGAGCCCTGCAGCTCCTGAAATGCCTGAGCTTAGAGCAGGAGTTTCACACTGACCCAAGACCAGAGGAAGAGGCAAAGCGAGGCCAGCCAAGGCCTCTGTCCTCTCCTCCCCAGCCTGTAATTCCCAAGTTGGAGACTCGGTGGACATTATACGCTAAGGACGAGCTCATTCCCATAAGGGTCCTCACTTGGGTGGTTAAAGAAAGCACCATCTTACTGAGAAGACCTCAGGCTGGCTGGGCTGTGGCTGCTGCACGTGCTGTTCCCCCGAGGCTGGGCCGTGGTGCTGTCCTTGCCACTGTGGCCACATCCCCACACCTTCGGTTGCGCGCGGCTGGAAGGGGGCTGGGGTCTGCGCCGCCTCCGTGGCTGTTCAACGGGAACAAGGCGGCAAACATCAGGGCGAGCAGGATTTCGTCCCGCGCAGTGAGCGCTGGGGATTCAGCCTTGGAGCAGGGCACGGTGCCCATGGCTCTCAGCTTCCCTCCAAGGGGACTTGGCCATCACTCCCTCAGCCTTGCCGGCACCCCAAGCCATACTCACTGAAGCTTGTGCCACGGCCAGCAAGGTTTGGATATGTGGGCCCGCTAGGGGAAGTGGTGGAGCCAGGGGCTGTCATTGGGCTGAAGGAGGACTGCGTGCCTTGGAAAGTCCCCATGCCGAACGAAGAGGGACGAGTCTTCACTGCCTGCGACGCCACTTGCTGCAAGACACAAAGGCAGGGGAGGAGAGAGATGCATCGATTCCGACCTTCATCTTACCCAGGGCAAGAACTGCTGGACTGGGTCAGCTTTGTGGCTAGATATCTGGTCTCCAAACAAGCAAAAGGGAGAGGGTGAACTTGCATCCTTGCTGATCCAGGCCAAACATTCCTGCAGAGGAGCTCCTCAATGCAAGGTGCTCATCCTCATCCCTCTTTGCACAGCAGCTTGCACAAGTGGGAGGAAGAAGTGAAACTGTCCTAGAGCCCCTCCAACACCCAGAGCAGCAAGACTGTCTTGTCTCTGACGTGTTCCTCCTCTAGCCTCTCCACTGAGCCTAATAAAAACCAACAGCTACAGCAGACCATGGCACAGAGGGGAGATGTCAGAGCAGCCCTGTCACCTGCTGGGGCTTCACCTCTTGGTGCCATTCACTTTCCGGCACTCCGAGGTGCTCAACACAGTGCTCCTCCGTCACTAGAGCAGGTCGACTCACGCCAGCACAAAGGGTCTACGACGCACTGGGGGCCTGGGGCCCGCACTGAGTGTTCGGATGTCGCTACCTGAGGTGTGAACGCCGGCCGTGTCCCGGGAGCCCAGCTGGTTCCGCTGACCTGAGCGGGGTTGGAGTGGCGCGAGATCTGCGCAAGGATGCGACCAGCTGCCGGCGGCTGCTGCTGGATGATGTTCACGGGGGGTATCATGGTGCTGCTGCTACTGCTGCTGCTCCTGGAAGAGCGGGAGGGGGGCTCAGCAGGACACCAGGCACCGTGCCACAGGACAGGAGGCACAAGCACCATCTGGGCAGGTCACTGGGGGAGGAAAAATGAGTGCACACATTGCGGAGGCAACGTTGTTGCTGTGCCAGAGCCCACTCTGCTGCCCAGCTACGGGCGCAACCAGCAGGAGCTGATGCATCTGTAAGCAAGAAATCCTTCCCACTCAGCTGCAGGGCAGGGATCCAAGTGATGCGCACAGGCACAGACCATGTGGGAGCACATTTATGGGGAGGGCTGGGAGCACTCAGCCCTTGCAGGGGGAGCGGTAAGAGCAGCAGTAACTACAGGACAAGGCCCAAGTCCCAAGAGGCCTGCTTGAGGCACGTGAATTCTCACCTAAAGTTCTCTGCGGGCCGCGTGGGGGTGAAAGCGTTTCCCTGCTGAAAGAGGGTTTGGTTGGCAGGCACTGTGCTGGCAGGAATGGCTTTGTTCTGGTCTGCAGAGAGAGGCAGATTCGGGTTAGGGCCGAGAGAGTCTCAGCAATGGGAACAGGGACAGAACCAGCTAGCGAGACGTGCTTGCATGAAGGGAGACCGTTTTGAGCCAAAGCATCAGGCACGACTGTTCTTTATCCAGACATGGGCTCCAGATGGTTTCATAAAAGCCTGTTTAATTTGATTTCCTCTCCATTTTCTAATAAACTTCACATTAAGGCTCTCTGGGGTTACAGCATCCACTACAGTCTGTGCTCAGAGAGGGAACACAGAACTGCGCCCTAGGGACAGGCAGAAGGGACAGACCAAGACACGCAGATCCACAACCAGAGACACCTTCTCACCCCCTCCCCACAACCAGTGTTGTCTGCAGGGAGATTCACTGCCACTGCAGCACAGGTCAGGAATCCTCCACATGGTGTCAAAAATCATTACTTCTCTGCAAGACCGAGGCTGCCACAACACAGGCACCAGCCTCTACCCCCAGAGCTGCTCTAAGTGACTTAGGAAAGAGCAGAAAGGCAAGTCAGATGGACGCAAAATGCGCCTTGGCTGCACCTCACGGCCCAGTGCTCCTACCTGTATTGATACCACTGTAGATCTCGCCGAATCTTGGGTCTCTCTCCTGACTGAACAGGCTCTCCGTCTTCTCCAATGTCTTGCTGTGCTCTGGGCCAGCAGCACTCACAGGCTGAACAGAGACCTGAGAGCAAGGATGATAAACACAGGCAGTTAGAACACCATGTGTCAAGGAAGTCAGCAGCCTCCCAGCCAGCACAGAGAAGGGCTGAAGGTGTCTGCAGGCCAGGGCCCCGCACACAAGAGCGATCTCGCGTGACCACCTTTAAATCCCTAGCAAAAGGGAATTCAGACAATATAGGAGAGAAAAAGGCAACGAGCAGCCTGAGCTGTTATCGAGTTACCTGCGAGTGGTCGTAACCGGACAGGCTCTCTCTTCCTGGGACCACCTCCAGCTCCGTCTGTTGTGGTGGTGGCTGTTGCCTGAAATAGAAAGGGGTTGTAACAAGAGCACAGTGCCTACTGAAAAGATTGCCAAGGGAGGAGGTACCCTCTGGTTACACCACGATTTATTAGTTGAGGGGGTTCAGTTATAGCAGAGGAGAAAGCTGGGGTTGGACAGGAAGGCTGAAGCGGCAGGAGAGGCCTGGAAAGGGAGCCGAGCGCCTCCTGACCTTGCAGGCAGCTGTGCCGTGCCCATCTCCAGGGGAAGGCTGACGCTCTGCCCCAGTTGGGGCCTCTGCATGGAGTTTGATAGAGCAGGTCGAGATTCCTGGCTGGAATTCCTATTAAAAAAAAGAGTAAGAGGTATTTTAAAAATGCCAAAGAAAAGCGAACAGTTGGCTACTGAATATAAGAGTGTGTACCCATCTCAGACAAGATTGGAATCTTTTCTTTTTTTTGTGCAAGAAAGATTCAAGGGAGGAATCTTTCCATTCAGTTTCCATGGTCTCTGGAAGGGCAGTGTGGCCAGTTCTGCAGTGGTCTTAAGCATAACGACAGGTCAAGGGGCCCAAACTTCCTCTAAAGCTTCCAGTCAGCCCTGTGCCAGACACTTCAGAGCAGGAGCCTACAGAGATCACCAGCAGCTTTAGGTTCTTAAGCCCAAGATGTTGCTGGAGTTCTTTATGCTCTTCTATCTATAGTTGTAAGCCAGTTCAAAATAATAATAAAAAAATCCCCCACCCCATAAAGAAAGGGATGGAAATCCATTTTTTCCCTCTCAACAATTGCTTAGCACACTGTTGCTTTGGAAGTAAGACTGATCTCATGGATGAAAAAGCTTAATAAAGAAAACCCAGCAAAGATGCACATCAATAACCTGCATCTCGAGCACAGACAGACACAGATGGCCCCTTGTCTGGTCTGAATTTGTGCAGCACATTTTGAAGGCATAGCATGGACGTGGGAATGGATGTGTGTGGAATGAATGAGTTCAAAGAGATGGCTCTACTGGGGATCTCAGCCTGTAGCAGATCTGAGCCCTGTGCTCAGACCATAGCTCTTTAGAGCCCAAGGGACCAGGCTGCCACTGCTCAGTTTTAACGCTTTCCATCAGAATGTTTTTCCTTGCTTGCTGGGTGCTACCTGCCCTCTAGGACCTTTCTGCATTGCCAGGAAACAGACTTTTCAGTTGCCCACAAACACAAGTAACGAGGCCTTCTGTTTGGCTGGAGAGACTGTTTGCTGCTCCCAGCAGCCCTGCAGTTTTGAAGCACAAGTAGGAATGTTTCTTATTTCAATCACTGCTCTTCTGCGAGGAGCCAGGAGCTCACTCATGGGAAGAGACAGCAGCTACAATTGCACCCAAAGGAAATGCAGATGGGGAGCAATGTGCAGTACCAGCCCACCTGAGCAGTAAGAGAAGGAAGAGAAGAAAGCAGCAATGAGAGCAGGTTCCCCAAAGCACCAGCCAGGGGCTGGTTTCTGAGGTTAAACTACAACAGTGGAGGAAAATAAGTGTTTACTTTCTGCCTTGAACTGCACCCAGTCCTGCTGACACAGAAAGCTGCCCTTGGGACCAGCTGCCCTCCTGGACTGTCAACAGAAGTCCAAGAGCTGCATTCAGATGTGGACCTAATATTAGCTCTGAATACAAATTCAGAGACAGGGAACTCACGCCAGTAACCAGAGCTAAGCAGAGTGTTGCTGGTGTTGAACTTTGGCAGGTTGCTAAGCCATACAACTCAGATGGCCAAAGGAATTACATCTCTGGCACTTTTTAGTCCTGCAGTGCACGTCACGGCCCAGGGAAAAAAACACACACACACACGCTTGGGGACTTAGTAATTTCTCCAGAGCCTACACAAATTGATGGGAAGCTTAGTGAGGGAAGAGGTCAAAGCTCCTGCACTTCCGTGGTCCAGCTTATTCTGGGATAAGAGCCCATCTGGTTCACGGGCTGGTGGTTGGCAAGGCATTTCCGTGTACATACTTGACGTTGGTGTTGGTACAGATGATGTACTCAATTTCATCCGAGTAGGGGTTCTGGAAGGTAAAGGAGCTGGTTCTCATCCAGAGCCATTCCCGGTTTTTGGATCGGAATCGGAACATGACTGACAGAACCTGGCCTTTTAACTTCACCACCTAAAAAAACGTAATGCCATCAATAGTACCTGCTAAAAGAAGGCACTGAAGAGCAACTTGCTTCTGAGCACAAGCCACCCCCGCCTCAAAGCCCATGATGGCCCTTTGCCTCAAAGCCTACAAGACCATATCTTGGTTCTCCTCAACTAAATGGTGCTGCCACTACTCCCTGACAGGATCTCGATTCCAGAATGACATGGTTGGAAAATCTAGTAGACCCTTTCTGGCTTCCACTTTTCTTATCTCTTTGCACTGGTGAGATGTATGGAACCCTTCAGCGAATGATGCACACGCTGTTGCTTCTGGTGCCAACTATTTGGACAAATGGATATGAGCAGCTAATTTTTGGAGTCATGAAAGCACATGGGCAGTCTTACCTGCCCTGCCACAAGTCCAGCGCCCTCAGAAATAAGAGTAACCACAACAGGGCAAGCAAACCACATCCATTTCGAGTTCTGCGGCACCGAGCTGGGCCCTAGAGATGAACCAGTGTTTCAGCCACAGGGACATGGCATTCAAGTAGGCACCTTGTAGCCATGTCTCTGGCCCTAAAAGCAGACTGGACTAGCAGCCAGAAGATGAATTCAAGAGTTAGACATCAGGTGCTTCTGGTTTGTTTTGCATGTTTACAATTATGTGACTAAAATCTGTAACTGTAAGAAAAAGAAAAAAGAAATATCTAAGGCTTATTCTTCTCTCTGTTTTCCAGTTAGTTTCATTTCTTTGAAAGTGCTGCAAAGACACACTGCAAATTTGTGCATCTTACTGCATGCCAAGAGGTAGAGAAAATGCTTTACCTGCTGAAAGCTGTCTCGCAAAAGCTGTTGGTCTTCTGGGTGGCAGAAATCCACAATGTCCTTCCCCAGAAGCTCCTAGTTTTAAAGGGATTGGGATGAAGATTGGGTCAGTTTTCACCTGGCTAGCAGACTTCCCATTTCAGGCCCACACCATTAAGATCACTTTGGATAGGCGGTCACTGCTCTCCCACAACCTCCCCCCAACTCCACACTGCTGCAGCACAAGGAGAGCTCAGGAATTGCTTGCTGTATTTTAAGAGAAGTGCAACAGCAGCTGACTGATGTTTGATCCTTAAATCAAACCAGGGCAAAAACTACCTTAACTGACACTAGACATAACCCAGAGCCACCCACATTTCCTACATTGATAGGACTTAGAAAAACAAATGAAAGAGGAAGGGGTGGAAGAGAAACACATCTGGTTTAGTCCCTGAGCACTGTTTTATCAGATCTGTTTAGACAAGCAGAACCATGATGTGCAAAGGACAGAGAGGAGGGAAAAGCCTATTCAGACTAGTTCTTTCTTGGAAAGCTCCTCCTGTTTTCTCACCTGTGGCTGGTAGCCAACAGTAGCCACACAGCGGTGATCTATGAAGGTGAAAATGCCTTCGGTGTTGTGCCGGGAGATGAACTCTGTTGGCTGACAAACGTTGTTCATGTCTGTACAGTTTGGTGAGCTGGTGACCTGCAAGGGCAGCCAGACGCAGTATTAGCAAGTCTTGCAAGAGCTGCTCTCTCCCAGCCAGCAGTTCCAGGCAGCTAGATTTGCAGCAATTAAAGCCCCTTCAGGCCAAAGAGTTAGTTCTGTGGATGTGTCAGGCAATACAATGTTGAGCCAGCAAGAAGTGCTACGCACCTGGAGTCTGCCAATAGCAACGAGGCAAAACTTGCTGCCCTGGCCAGCATCCGGGTCATCATCAGGCAGCGAAACACCTGAAAGCAGAGCCAAAGAATTCCAGTACAGTCAAAGCACAAGACAACAGACTTCAGAGGAAAAACAAACAAACAAACAAACAAAAACCCCACAAAGACACACACAAAAACAGCATGCTGCTCTGACTTCAACACAGCTCTCCACCCTATTTTGTAATCCAATACCCTTCTCCATGCAAGAACTGAGTAAATTAAACTGCTTCCCCCCCTCCCTGTTTCTCCCCAAAGGGAGAAAGAGCTCTGAGGCTTTCAGCAAAAGCTGGCAAACGAGACAGTGTAGTATTTCATTCTCCATGGTGGACACTGCTCAAAGACAAAGACCATGCTTCTGAACCACTGAAATATCTCATCTCTTAATAAACCTTCTGAAACACAGGTCTCTGATCCAGTATTAAGAGAAAATTTGTTCAATTCTAAAATGAGAAAGGATGCTAGATGTACTGGGAAAGCATTTGCTAGCATATTTGGTGTGGAGAACAGACAATTACAGGCTGTATTTTCCTAGAAAGCTGCTAAGGCTGAACATGCCAGCTAAGCAGTACACGTTGTTACCTGCAGGAGGCCAGGCTTTGATGTAACCTGTGCAGTGCACCACAACGTAGTGAGGCTCACCATCTTTTGCTGCACCTAAGCCATTCCTGGGAGGGGGGGGGGAAGAGAAAATTCCAATTATTCTTTCTTTATCCCAAAGACATTCTGCAGAAGCTTTCAAAAATGCAAGGAGGGAACACACTTGAATCTGCCTGACCTAACCCCAATTTAGTATAAAGCACAAGGACTTGACATAAAATCAAGAAGTTTGGGAATAGGGTAGGTTGGAATCTCTCATTTTCAAATGAAAACAGAGACACACCAGGGCCCAATAGCAACAACTGGGAGAACATTTGGCTTTAATTGACTTAAAACACAAGTCTGGAAAAGAAAGGATTTTAAAATAAGTATTATCTTCCCCAGTCTAGTGGCAGTACAGTTCCTCTACCAGTAGCTCCATCTATACTCCTCTATGCATTAGGAGAGCTTGCCCTGCACACTCTCTCCAGCRTGTCCCCATCACTCTGGTGACAGACCTCCTAGGAGAAAGGCAGCCTCACACACAACCCTTCTACCAAATACCTGCAGCGATTCCGCATAAAGCTGAGACGATTTACAGAGACCGGATCCACTGAGCTGTTGCCACACCTGGACCAGAAGCAGAAGTGAAAGGAAGGAAAGGTTTTTAATTCTTGTTTATCAAAATAAAGCACTATGGGAGTCTTGGAGATGAAGCACTCTATGCCATCTGAAATGCCATCGCCCAAGCAAAAAGCACTCATTTCGTGGACTGCAATAAGCCACACGACACACAGGGTCAAAGCAAATCAGTCCTACTTGAAACTGTCTTGAGAGCTACCTTAGCACACGGCAAGGAAAATCTCAAGAACTTGGTTGTTTGCTCTATACAGAAAAACTCCACTATACCACATTTAGGTCAAAATGAACAAAATCAGAGCTGGATGGCAAGTAGGAATGAGACAGCGAGCAAGTTCAGCTACAAGCTTGGATGAGATGGACTCTCTCCATTACCTCATTCGGCAGATGAAAGATCTTCGTGAACCCATACACATTCTCATGGACTGCTGGCCTTCCTTCTTGACAGTCCCTGTCTTTAAATCTAAGATGCGACCTAAAGAAAGAGGCAAAAACAAGATGCTGCTGCAGTTTTTCAAGTCCTTTCACCAACAGAGGCACCAGGTAACACTAGGAAACTAGCAAGTGTCACCAGTGGTACCTTCTGATGTCTTCTCAGCGGGGTTGGCAGGATCCTTGTTAGAAAAAGACCAGGGTTTGGTTCCTTCTACAAATGGAAGGTTTTAATCCAACCAGCTCCTTTGCAGAGGCTTTACCTGTCAGCGCGTTCTCTGACGTGGAGAGCTGCTCCCTCAGCTTGCCCACGTCATCTGGGTGCACCTGGTCGTACAGGGTGCTGCCGAACCATTCGGATTGGGGTTGGTTCAGGACAGGGGTCACAGAATCGGAGACATAAACCACCCGCCCAGTCTCACAGGACACTATGAAGAGAAAGCCGTCGGCTGCCTCTAGGATCAAGTGTTTGAGCTCCTGCACACAGGACAGACAGACGCACTCTTACTCCAGCTCTAAGCAGGTGGCATCCTCCAAACCCATCCCAAGGGCTCTCTCCCTCAGCCACAATTTAATTCCTCCCCACTCCTGTGACTTTAATTCCCTAAAGCAGTATCAAGCCAAGACCTGGTCAGTGAGAAAGGAGGGTTTGTAGGTGCCATCTGTGGAGGTATTGCCTGTGCCACGCAGCGACTTCATGTGCGACACAGCCATGCGCAGGATGGTGAGCTTGTCAGGCTTGCGGGCCAGGGCGCTGCACGTGGGCACCATATCGGACAGCTCTGTGATGTACGCGGTCATCTTGTTCCTCCGCCTCCGCTCGATCTCGCTGTGGTTTTCCCTGCAAAAGGCCAGGGAGGAGAGGAGCAAGATGAAGTTACTGATGGACCAGGAGGCTTGGGCTTTTCCCCAGGTCAATGATTTCCACAAGGCCAGAGTGCAAAACACAGAGATGCATCAGGGTCATCAGGAGTTAGAAGGGCCATGAAAGCCTGGCATGCTGGGCGTGCATAAAGGAACGTGGGAACAAGTGCAAGGAGGAGAGGCCATGGCCGGACCTTCTTTGCTGAGGACAAGAGCCTTGCTTTAAATGACATGGGCTCCTGGTGCCTGCTGAAGGCAGTGAGCTAGGCTAATCCATTTAACAGAGACAGAAGCTTCCCCATCAATTCCACAACGCAGCAGCAAACCAAAGGCTTCCTTCTCTTATCACGGCCTCCACTCTCATTTTACTACTAAAATATCTTTTTCAACAGGCAGGCACTCTGGAGGGACAGGCAGATTGTGAGGTCTCCCGCCACCCACTGCTTGCCTGAGGATGAAACACATGGCCGCACTGTGCGCACCCACGGGGCTCGATGGTTGTGCTGGAGACCTGGATACAGTCACAGCTTAGATGCCTAAATTACAAACAGGCAAGTCTCACCTCGCAGAGACTTCATCCGAGTATTTCTCCAGAACACTAAAAACCTTTTGCTGCATCCCAGCAGGAGGAAAAGGCTTTAGAGCTGATATGCCCCTGCTTTCTGCCCAAGGCAAGGCCAACGTGGGCAGTACCATGAGTCAGAGAAGCACCTAGGTGCTGCAAGGATCTCCCGAGAGGCATCAGGATGGGCGTCACCAGTTTCGCTGGCCTTAAAGACTCTTTGCAGGCCTTACGTATGTCTGCTCCCGCAGTATATTCCCCATCGACCTCTCAGGAGGTCAGAACATAACCTGTTTATACTTGGTTGTTTTTACCTGCACATATAGCTTAATCGAGTTACTAAGGTAGATTTTTTTTGAACTTAAAAGCCAGGTTTCCTATACAAAAGGATGTATCTGATGCAAAGAAGCACACAGGAGGAGACGAAACGAGAAATGGGAGCGTGGACAAGAACACAGATGACTGAACTGAACAGGATAAAGAGAAGAAACGCAACATTTATCACTACCAAGTTTGTGCAGGCATTAAATGACCCTGCACCTTGTTGCTAATATTCAGGAAAAAAAACAAAGTAACACTTCAATATCCCACTCACCTTTAACTGTTTTCCCAAACTCACACACCCCACTGGGAGAACTGAGCTGCCCTCGATGGAAAGGCTGATAGTAAAGCTACCATGTCGCCTGTCTCCTCGCCAAGCAGCCTTTGCAACAGGCGCTGGCAACAACAGTCTGCAGGGGACAGGCAGAAAGGATGGAAGCTTCACTGGAGGGAGAAGCTCTGGAAAAGCACTGCTGTTTACTGTACTCACGGGCCCCACCTCTAGGGTTTCCTTATCTGCCCAAATATTTAAGCTATGCAATGCTGTTGTTGGGAAAGGCAATGCTTTGGGGGTTTTGGGGAAGGCTGGTTGTTTTAATACCAGCCAGCAGGCAATAAACTGGCCAGAACTGTGGAGGTCTCAGCATCCAGGGCAGCCTTTTTAGCCCTGTCTTTTTAGTCTTGCCGCTTGCTTAAGAATGAATTTAAGGTGGAACAGAAAGCTGTATTGCCCAGAGAAGTCACAGGGCAAGTTTGCAGGACAGCAGGCCACAAAATAAGCCATTCTTCACCACTTACTGACCCAGTAACAAGCAACAGAAACCTTGATGGCTATTTAAGCCCTTTTTATTTTGCAGTTTGAAACTGGGGAAAGGGACTGGTGTTTTCCTGCGGTCCTGACCACACTCTCTCAACCATGGGCTGCTGCGTGCACATAGTCATGGGGTTCATTTCACTGCTCAAAGTTACTTTTGGCCTGTGTTAATGGTAGAGTAGTTAAGAGGACTGCATTGGTCGCTTCAACACAAGCCACAGGTCTCCAAGGAATTATAAAGAGGAGATTAAGAAGAGAACCTGCTTTTAGTAAGCCTAAATTGCTATATTGGGCAGGACATCTTCCTCCCTAGAAAGTTTAAGGGATCATCAAACTAAGAGGTAGAAAAAAAATGAACTAATAGAGGCTTTACATCCATTTTTTATTGTATGATAGGATCCCTGTGACAAAATCCAACCCAGGAAAGAACAGGGCATTTGGCATGTTGATCAAGACGAGAGAAACTGTACTTAGCACAGATTAGCAAAGTCACGGTGAAAGCAATGGCCAAACCATGCTCTATCCTGCTGACTCCAACAAACAGAGCCCTTGTTGAGACTGTCTTTGGGGAGCACATGAGGGGGCTATGTGCCTTTCCATTCCCCAATCCAAATGCACAGCAGCTTCCAGAAGTCTGTTCAGTTTTAAGTCCTCTACAGCAGCAGATGAGAGGAGGAGGAGGAGAAGGGGGACAGAAAAGGGATGCCTAGAGAAACATTAAGGAAAGGAAATACTCTGCTTGTCCATGCTTGAAATCTCCAGTCTCCTACCTGGCAAGTCTCTCCTTATCCGCTGAACTCTGTTCATCATCAGACCTAAAAATAAAATCAGCGATCTAAGCTAAAATGGAAAAAAGTTTAAAGAAATGAAAAATGGGAAGGTGTACTAGGAAACCCAGCCTACAGACACGTCCGTTTTGTAGAGAAGCAATACCATAAGACAAAACAGTCATCAGTTCACAACACTGCACATTAAATCGGTATCTGTCTGTGTATTCAGAGACTTATCAAGGCTGTAAAATAGGCAAAGGCAATAGGCAACTGTTTTGCACATAGGATATTCAATGTGCAGATAATTCTGTGCAAGAATGGCTTAATGGCAGAACTAGGAATACAGTCCCAGTCACCTTAACACTTTTTAACAGAAACAGTAGCTTAACAGATCAAAAAAAGAAAAAGCACATTGAGACCCCCCTCCTCCCCCCCCCAAATCCACACATAGTGTCCAAGTCCCAGCTAGCAGCTACATAAACCTCACTCCGGGCAACAGAGTCAAGACTGCTACATGATAGAGAGCATGCAGAGAGGTCACATACGTCGTCTGCAGGGCAGACACCCCCATGAACCCACACATGCTTTCAGGTTCCAGGGAACAGGGCTCTGAAAACCTCACTTCACTAATATGTTGTCTTGTTTGCCTTGAATAACGGAGAATCCACCAGGAGCTACAGCCAGTAAAGATACCCCGTGTTCCCAGACGGCACCCAAAACAGCCTGCAGATTTGCAGAGTACAACACACGTTCCTAGCGTGACTTGGTCGTGATGCTCTTGGACTTCAAGGAGTTTAATACCCTACTAAAAATCAGATGTTCACTCTCACGTTCCGGTTTCATTCTACATCATACAAGGAAGAAGGAAGGGAGTGAAAAAATGAGGGCCACTGGAAAACACAGACCTGAGAGCTCTTGTTTCTAGACCATTTGCTTCAGTTCAAGACATCCATTAAATCACAAGGTTCCTAGACACGCCACTCCTGGTTCATCCTGTGATTTATTCCATTCTGCTGACCCTCAAGCCCCTTGATGTAACATGCAGGGCAGTTCTTATCCTGGTGTCCCTTCTATTTTAACCTCAGCTTTCAAGAAGATCTAAAGTCAGAGTCTTTTCCACTCTATATTCACTCACTTTTCCTCTTAGCAAGACATAGTAGGGTGGCCTTTCGCACTGAGGGGACAGGAATTTGCAGCATTCAGAACATGGACAAAAACCCACCTCACTATGGCCAGAACATCACAAAACAAAGCCACAGAAGGCTTAAATCAGCTCCCATGGGTTTCAGGAAGCTGGAGAAACACCATGAGCTCAGTCCTGGTTCTAAGCACGCAGCTAAGCACAATGTTTGCCAGGAAACCCTGCTGAAGAACACTTGAACTAAGCATGAAATTTTCCTTTTTTTCTGCAAGTTTCTTGAGCAGAAGAGAGAGTAAGATTCCAAGGCAACAGCTGGAATAGAAGCTTTGAAGAGCAATGTAATTTCTTAATACTCATATGAAGCCATCCAAAGAAACCATGGAAAGTGTTTGGATCCTTTGGCACAAGGTGCACCCTCCTTCAAAGGGAGAAAACCTGCCTGCTGCTTAGGAGAGGGACAATCCTTTCCCTGCATGTTGCAGCTCTCCGACACGTGGGGTTCAGTATCGCAGGCTTCAAAACCTGCAATATGGCAGATTCTTACCTGGCAAATCTCTCTTTATCATTTGGCATCTGGTCATCATCACACCTAGGGAGAGAGGAAAAAGAGTTCTTAGACTCTTTAGGTTTGCTCCTTTACCAAACATTTTGGGAGACCAGTGAGGTTAAATTACACACAAAAAACCTAGTGCTAAAGAGAAATTCCACTGTGCACAGGCAGCCCAGGACCACACTTGTTGTTTAGCTGGTTAAAAGGCTACAGCTTAATTAGTTTGGCATCCTGATGACATTTTGTGCCTGACAGTCATACCAATCTCTCTCAGCAATTTAAAGACAGTTGCACACAAAGCAATAGGTTAAACTGTGCTTTGAAAATACAGCTGGTTCAAATCAAGGGCCTCATGCAGAGGCTCTCAGTAGGTAAATCCCGTGATCGACAGGATCACGCTCATCTCAAAGTCATTTGAAAACCATCTTTAAAAGACTGTGACATATGGAATTCCACTATCACCAGAACGATCTAATCCTAATCCTTGTAGTGAGGCTACAAATTAATTATGAGAGATTTTTCAAGTCCTCTGCATCCCATATGGGTTATGAGAGGAGATGTTCACAGCCTCAGGGATAACAAGTTCTCTCCAAAACAGCTTGGGCCAGTCGCAGAACAAATGAGAGTTAAGAAACACATGTCTGGGGTCTATTTAATCCTTCACGATGCTGGTATCACACACAGTAACATCCCCACCAAGRTCTGCACCAGCACCCGCTCATCCCACTGCAGGGCTGCTGCTGGGAGCCTCGGGGTGGAGGCTGCGTCCAAAGTGGTACCCGGATCCCCCACTTTGGCCACAGCACCTTTCCAGTCCCCAGTGAGCCCCCACTCACTGCAGCTTTGCACTGGAATCAGCTGCAAAGACGGGGAAAAACTGCTGAGGAGGCTGAGAGTTTAAGGAAGAAGAGCGTTGCCTCTCTTGAGGACCCCCGCTGGTCAGTGCTGTGGGAGAGGAAAGGCTTTATAGGCAACAAACCCCTGCTCGGGGCAGGGCGGGGGGATGGCACAGCTGGACCACCCAAGAGGATCTCCCGGATGCAGAGCTCACCCTCACCTGAGGAATTTACTGTTCCCTTCTCCATCATCATCAAAATCAAGCCTGAAAAATATAAGCAAAAAGGGAATGATTAACCAGGCAGTTTTTTTCATGGGTTGCTTTTCCATCTGTCCTGCAGGGATGCAGGCAACTCCTGAAAGGAAGATTTAAGTTATCCCAAGTGGTAACATAAACAACCAAGGGAGTTTGGCAGGAGTTTCCTTGATATGTTTATCAGTAAGTGAGCAACGAGATTGTTCAAGATGGAGACGGCCCAGTGAGCACCCCCTGCTTTTAAATGTCCCAAAGGAGTGAAACGGCTGCTCAAAGGACAGACCAGCCTCCAGACAGAGCATGTGTAATTCCAAAGCTCAGATAAGTTGCATTGAAAAAAAAAAAAAAGAAAAAAAAAAAAAGAGGACAAAACACTTTAAAAGTTGAAGTTCAGTCTGGTGACTTGGTGTGGAAGTGGTGCGTGGTTGCAGAGCACAAGGAGCTGCAGGGGAGCGGGAGCATCAGCAAACAGGGCAAAGAGGGAGCTGGAAGGGAGGGAAATTTTTTTGTGAACTGGAAAATAGGAGAAAATCGCTTGTGGCAAGAATGAGAGGCCAATAAATAGCCTTTTAATTTACAAAAGCATTTTTAGCAAACAAAAAGCCCACTGCAAGCACATTGCTGCTTTCCCCATCCTCTCCCAGGGAAAAAGCAGCTGCAAAAGTTTAAGGCCTCACATTCCCATCTCTTGGGGCAACCAGTTGGTCCGTTTGCTCCACTGTCTCCTGTTTCCTTCCCAGTCCTTGGTGGACATGGACACCCCCTTTCTCCTGTAACAACTTTTTATCCCTTCGCTTTGTAGGAGATACAGAACTCCAGCTCCATGGGACACAACTGGCATAAGAGAGATCACTACAAAGTAAACAGGCCAAATGCTGGGTACCTAGGACCCAAGCGACTGCTTTTCACTTAGAAGGAGCCAGCCGACCGCTCCTCCACCAAGTGCAGTGCTTTGTCAAAATCCCACTTTCCCCACACACACACAAAACTCCAAACCCTCCAAAACCCCCACTCACCCAGGGCGCCGCTTGTTGACTCTCTGCACAATGGCTCCTCCAGCTTGTGTCCCTGCTCCAGGATTCCCAGAGCCCACAGCTGCACCCAGGGAGGAAACATCTGATGACATTTCTAAACAGGAGGGGGAAGAACAAACAAAAGAGAAGGACATCAAATCCGCCACGAGCTCCGTGGGAGCGGCACGCTCAACATCTAGCTCCCATTAAACATGCTAGCGTTTCAGCGACTGAAGTGGGGAGATTGTGTGTGCTGTCCTTCCAGCCCTTTCATCCGGGGCCTCTGCAGCAGGGGCGCATTTCAAGCGCCGCGGACATGCTGCTTTCATAAGCCCAAGAGCTTAGGAAAGACGGGGGCTCCTTTTTAAACAGAGGAGGAGCTAGCCATGCTCTGGAAGGTTGTTCATAGCTTCGAACCCAGGCTAAAGATTTTTTTCCTATGTTCCCATGCAAGAGCATCGCTCCAACCAGAGCATCTCCACCACGGTCTATGCTGTAGAGCTCTGCTGGACACCTCCAAGGCTCAAAGAACATTTCTGCTTTATCAAAGTGGAGGAAATTAATAATATTAAGGCAGGAGAGAGAGAGGCAAAAGTCTTTTGCTGAGGCTCCCAAATGGCAGCAAAGGGGGACGCCAACCCTGACAGCTTGGATGAAATGAGAGGACTATTAGAACAGGCAGCACCTCGTTGTACTTCTCATCTCATCCAAATGCAGCCTTCTGCATTCCTCGCACACAGAATGAGTGGAGGGGAGGGAAAGAGAGACTTTTCAGCTTCTTAGATCCAGCTTTGGCAGATAACTGCACAGTGCAGCTACAGGAACAAGGTTTGCGGGCAGCAGCTTGGGCGGAGCAGTGCTCCCCGAGTTGGGTGCTGGTCAGTGCGCACCTAAAGCCCCTGTCAAGCGCTGTGGCCAGCCCACATGCCGGCTCACGGCAGCACTTCTGGTCCCAGCAAAGGCTCCAAAACTTGAGCTGTTTCTTCCAAAACAAAGCTAAATAATCAAAAATGTCGACCGTGGCAATGCTGCTATATTGTCTCGCTGCCGCGTTGCCTCTCCAAGCAGCTGGCTTCACTGAAAAAGCCTCTTCCTGGCCAGGCCGTAGGGATTCCCAGGAGGGACTAAAACATGCATTAAGCATCCAGGCCAGTGCTTAGCGGCTCAACGGGCAAGAGATGGTCACAAACAATTTGCAATAGTGTAAGAACACCAAGTTTCAACACAAAGTAGAGGTAAAAAGCTCCCAGAAAAGTTTCCGAACATTATATCTGTACCTGATCCTTTGTTCTCAAAGATTTTTAAAGCCAGTAGGATTAGCGGTTTTCAGCAAGTGAATTTGTAATATTTATTTCCCAGGCAGCAAGCTGAGCTCTCTGCAATAAACTCGAGGCTCATGATGGGATGGACTTGAAATAATCGGAGCTGCCCTTTGGTCCAGCCCGTTCCCTGTGCTAGGACCATCTCTTTGTGCTCCACAAGCTCAGGCATCCCAGAGTCGCAGAGCAAGGGAGATCTGCACCATTCACTTCTTGCCAAAGAAATCCCCAGGGCTGCTATCAAAGGTCTTTATTTATGGGAACGTGGCCCCAAACGCCATCAAACCAGGCCTGAAAGGTCTCCCTTCTGGCCAGACAGCTCAAACAGCCCATGGTTTTTCGACGTGTGCACATAAATACCGCGGTTTCAGGAGAAAACAACTCTTTGGAGCAGTGCAGATAATCGTTTTATTAAGGACGGAGGAATTTCCGGCTCAGTGCTGAGGGAAGGAAGTGACACTGCGCTGTTCCCATGCAAATTAACTTTTAAATAGGCCTGGAAGTGCAGGGGGTGGTACGGAGCGGGTGGGGGGCGGGGGGCTGGTCTTCTGTTTGTTTTTGAAAGGTCCCATCTGAGCCCTTGGTACTGCTATGGGAACTACTACAAGAAGGGCCCAGGGAGGGTGGGAGAAGGAAAGTGGCGGCTTTTCCCTTCTCCCAAATGCTCCCGTGAGAGCAAAAACCTCCTTCCAGGACACGAAGCAAGTGCCAAGCTGCAGCTCTGCCCGCTGCCCCAAAGCAGATGCGCTGCAGCCTCCCTATTTGGGCACTCTTCTTCCTCTCCCAAAGCAATCCCTGTTGGCACTTGGCACGTGCCGTGTTTAATTAAGGCCCAAAGAGATAAGTAGGAGCAGGCAGGGAACTTGAGGATCCTCGATCCTCGTTTGTAACCGACTATAAATGTGCAAGAGCACCACAATTGAGCCAACAATGCAGCCTGGAATAGAACCGGCTAGAAGGCGTCGGAGGGAATGTCATGACCAAGGGCCAGATTCCCAAGCGGCTCCCCTGGGCCGGGCTCTGTTGCAACCACTGGCATCTCACCAGGGAGCGACTCCAGGACTAAAGCGGGAGCAGATATTCGGAGGTGTCATTGAGCAAGGGCTACGGCAGCGCCCAGGCCACAAGAAGGGGCAATTCCTGCTTGGGGCAGGGGTGGCGGATTTCTAAACCAAATTGTACAGGCCGGAGGTTGGAAAGCCCCCAAGAAATACATTTTTTGCAAACTGGAAGGTTTAAAAGCAGTCCGTAAGGAACCCCAAAAAAGATAAGGGTGGTTGTGAACACATAATGGCCGCTAAAAATCGAATGACATCAAATAAAGAAACGAACGCATTCTTTTTTCCTCCAACATGAACAAAATCATAAAATGCTTTAAATAAAGTTGATAAATCCAACATTTATCCTACCAAATCTAAAGCGTTCTAACAATCTCAGTTAATAGGAAAACCTGTAAACTACAGCACATCTGTTTTAATTCCTCCTCATCTTACCCCTGGCTTATGGCACACAGTTCTCTTTTTCGCTCCCAACCAGGAGATTCCAGCAAGGCAAACCCTGCTAATGCGAGCACACAAGAACGCTCCACGATTCGAGTCTTTTCTAGCTAGCAAATGGGCAACAGCAAAGCAAGAGAAGACACTGCTTTTCGAGAGCGCTTTCCACAAATAATTTATTTTACTAATAATCTCTGTGCTTATAGTGCTTACTCAGACTGTATTTTTTCCCTTCTCTGTTTAAAACAGCTAAGCTAGCGGTGGACAGCAAGTCTGCCTACAGTCACAGATATTAAACACAGATGTTAAATTCTTTCTCTTTTCCTTGTGAGTTTATTTGTTTAAAACTCATCTATCATGCAAAATACCAGGCAACTCAAAAGACTACAGATACATAAATATTTTATAACACACTAAGAGTCTAGAGCAATGCACGTCTTCCTTTCTCGCTCTACCAAATCCTCACGAGGCTGCTTTAGAACAATCTTGTCTACTTTTTTACCACCAGCGTTTTGTCACTTTGGGTTTTGCTGGGCACCCTTTGTCTGCCGAACTGCAACCCTTGAACCAACAGTGCTCTGGCAGCAGGAGAAATGAACTTCTTGAGTAAGTCTATGGCACCAGACACACACGTGTCCAAGTTTCGACTGCTTGGAACAACATCACCCTTTCAAGAGAATATTATTCTTAGCCAGAAGTTTGTTTTTCTGCAGGACGAGCGCACGAGTTTGACAGTTTCCATCTCGGATGTGTTTTCACCAAGCTGAGTGGGGGGCGCTTGTTGTTTCTAACGCCTCATCTGCAACTTCTGATTGCTGAAGAATTTCAGATCGCCCTGCACAACCACATGTGCGTGTTTCCAGACATCAGCTCTGCCCCCTTGTCTCAAAGTCAGCACAAACGAATGACCCAACATGTTTTCCTGATATTCAAAGCCGCAAAAAGCTTCCTATGCCAAGTAAGGATGAAAACCTGTCCCTTAGAAGTTGCGCCCAGCAGTCCTAGATGAACCCGAACAAGTCACACAAGCCGAGATCTTGTCAGCCCCAAGCCACACGCAAGAATAAACAGAAACCACAAACCAAGAGAAGACTCAGAAGCTGAATTTCTGATCTCAGTCACCACATAAATCCACAACAACTTCACCGACACTGGCTTATCATACTGATTTCAGGGCAGCTTAGCTTGAACTCTGAAAAAGCCTAAAGCACTTGAGTTTATTTAGCAAACATCAGTCACCAGCAATTTCCACCTACTCCAGACTGAGCATCACACCATAGCTCCTGGCTGGAGAGAGTGGTAGTCGAAGGGATATTCTGCTTTCTGCACCCTCGATGGGCACCAGCAGGATTCATAAAAACCCTTTGCAAAGTAGCAAGACAGTTCAAATAAAACTCAGGGAAATACAGAGGTGGAAGGAGAAAAAAAAAGAAAGACGGGGAAAAAAAAAAAAAAAAAAAAAAAAAAAAAAAAAAAAAAAAAAAAAAAAAAAAAAAAGGATAAAACAAACAGAAGCCACTAGCGACCCCGTCAGCTCCCTCCTACCCTCCCCCTGCTCCCCTGTCCCTCTACAGCCCCTCAGGTGACACCTCCGGGGCCAGCCCAGCGCCTTGGGGACGCCCTGGCCCCACAGCCACCCCCCCCAAACCTGCAGCCTCCTACCAACCCCTCGAGGGCCCCCTTGGTTCCTTCAAGACGCCCCCCCCCTTGGTCCCCTCGGGAGCCTCCTGCCCCCAGGACCAGCCCCTGCGCTGCCCCCTTCACCCCTAGGGCCCCGCCCCGGGCTCAGCCGGGCCCCGCGCTCCACAGAGCGGCCCTTGCTCCCCTCAAAGGGCCGTCAGCCGCGGGGACCCTCCCGTGCGCAGGGAGGGCCGCGCTCCCCCTCAGCAGCGAGTCCGGCCCCCGGGAGCCGCCGCAGACTCACCCGGGTTGGCGGCGGTGGCAGCCATGGCGGGCGCGCTGCCCCCGCCTCCCTCAACGGCGCCGCTGCCAAGATGGCGGCGCAGGAAAACCCTACGCGCCGCGGTGCAGCCTAGCCTGCCTGAGCGCGGGGGCGGAGCAGGGGTGAGACGCAGGGAGCCCATTGGACCAAACGGCCAAAGAAGGCGGCATCAAGGAAGCAATCATGTTCGTGTGACGCCTGACATGCTCCGCCCCTTACGGACGCGGGGGGGCGTGGCGGCACGGGGGCGTGGCGCAGATTTAAAGGGCACTTTGCGTGACGTCACGTACTGCTATTTGCTTTTTTCTGTCATAGGGCAGGAATAGGGCTGGGATTGGGGTTAAAAATAAAATTGAGGTTATGCCTTGGGGGGGCAATCTATGGAAAAGATGTAAATCGTTTATTCCAGTCCGTTTTCACCTCACTTTGCAGAGCTGGAGGGGGCTCCTGGCTGAGAACAGGGCCACTCGGTGCATCTCTCAGCACAGTACCCTCCTCACCTGACTCTTTGTTACGGTGGCCTCCTGGTACCGGGAGCCGGAGGTGGCCCCACTAGCCCTAGGGCCCTCCTGACCCCAAAAAGGGCCCACTGTGAGCACAGGGAAGCTGAGCACCCAACTGAGCCCAAGAGGGAGGTGCTGGAGAAACTTCCAGCGCCGGCTGGTGACAACTGAGCCCGCAGGATCGTTTCTCCCGTTAGCGGGAGCACCTGAAAGATGATGCTGTGGTGCTCCTGCAGTATTGATGACCCCCCACACCCCACTGAGGATGGCCCTGAAGCGGCACCAAGTGGGACAGAACAGCTGCCCTGTCCACCCCTCTGTCCGTCTGGAGGTAAGGAACTGCCTTGTCCGGGACTGCTGGGAAGGGGATCTGTGGGCACTGTGGGGTCCTTTTTGGGGTGTGTGAGGCTAAACTTGGCACATGGGACATGTCCCAGGTCCCTCCCCTTTCTACATAAATCAGATGCATATGTAAGCACACATATATATAAATATATATATGTATATACATACGTGCTGCTTTTGGCTCTTCCTATCCCATGCAGACACTTTCTCCAGAAAAAGGGGAAAATAAATAAGTGAATAACACAGAAGGTTTAAGCTCAGCGATGTCAGCGGCCTGAGGGCATGGAGGCTGCGGCAGCGTCCCTCGATGTGGACCGGGCTGTGGCCATTGCCTTCGTGGTGCTGCTGGGTCTCTTCCTGCTTGCCATGGCCGTGCGCTGCGCCCGCCTCGTGGTGGATCCCTACAGCGCCATCCCCACTGCCACCTGGGAGGAGGAGCAGGTGCCCAGAGCCACCGGGGATCCCCCAGACACCCCTGGAAACTCTCAGGACCCTGCATCCCCCCACTCCCCCAAGGGCCCCATTACCCCCAGGGGGTCCCAACACCCTGGGTCCCCACTAGCCCCACCTCCCACTGGGCCCTCCATTGCCCTCTCCCCAGGGCTACCATCCCCGCCAGGTCCTCCAGCAGTGCCAGCCCCCCCTTTGCCTCAGAGCCCCCTTACATCCTATTGCGCCGCCCCCTCCTCCAAGCCGGACCTGCAGCCTCCATCCCACCCGCAGGAGGCAGCACTGGGACCCCTTCCCAGGGCTCTGCCCCTTTAAAAGCGCCGCAACGCCCTTCGCGCATGCGCTTTGGTGCGGCCGCCTCATGCGCGTGCGCACTGCGGTGCCTCCCCGCCGCGCTGCATCGGGCGCGGGTGTGGGGCAAGGGGGGAAGGATTGGGCTCCGTGGGTTGCCGTTAGCGGAAGTGACGTCGAGTGACGTCTATTTTGGCGTTCCCCCCTGAACCCTCCTTTTTTTCTGTGTCTGCTCCTAGTAACGGGGGACGCGGCGGCCCTGAGGCCTCAAACACGAGGTGAGAGCGGGGGGGAGGGGCGAAGGGAGGGGGGTATGAAGGCGAGGAGGGGGTTGTGGGGTGGGGGACGCTGGGGGTGTCGAGGGGCGGGAGGTGGAGGGGGAGTGGGTGGGAAATGGGGCCCTTTGGGGAGGTCGGAGGTTTTGGGGTGAGGGGAGTGGGGAAGGAGGGGCTGCTCTGGGGGGGGTGTCACCTCGGCTCACATGGGGCTTTTGTCACCTCTCGGTGGCCTTGGGCACCCCAGGAATGGATTCCCAGGAGCTCCAAGAGCTGCAGCAGGAGGTGCTGGAGGAACTGGGCATCTCCATGGAGGAGCTGCAGGTCATCATCGATGAGGAGCTGGAGAAGTTCGAGTGTGTGAAGCAGAGGAAGCAGCAGCTGGAAGAGCTGGAGAAGTGTGTGAAGCAGAAGGAGGAGGAGGTGGCTCATGTCGACCGGCTCTTCGATGATGCCTCGAGGTGGGCTGCGCATCCCTGCCGGAGCTCGTGGGGCAGAGCAGGGTCCCACCTTTCCCTGCCGTGGGCATGGGCACCGCGTCTCCGCGTCCGCTCGCTCGGACACGTCACGAAAATGACCATCCTGTGGCTTTGAAGCCTTCACACAGATGCTCTTCCTCACCTCCTGATGGTTGTATTTAATTAGCAGCTCCCAAGGGTGACTCTTTGTTTCTGAGGTGGCATGTGCAACTGGACTCACTTTGCCTTTCCCTTTCTCTGCTCCTCTTTTGTTTTTTTTTCCCCAGAGCTATCGATAAATGTGAGACTTTGGTCAAAGATCTGTACTCCAAGCTGGGCCTGCAGTATCGCGAGAGCAGCTCCGAGGACGAGGGCTCAGGTGCCAAGGCCACTGAAGTGATCGAGATCCCAGACGAGGATGAGGATGATGTCATGAGCATCGATTCGGGCTGGAAGTGCAGTTCAGTACCCCGTGGCACTGAGGGGAGGGATGGCGATTTTCCATTTTCCTCTTAAATGCTACTTTTGCTCTGGGGAAGCTGCCTGGGTGGCAGGTCGTGCCTCAAGAAAACGCAGCCTTATTGAGTGGCTTTTCTGCCACAGGCAGAGAAGACTCTTGTGTAGAAGCTTTTCTATGTTCTTTCTTGTTTAAAACCTCTTAAGGAGGAAACAAAGCCACTTTTTTTTTCCTCTCTTTGCTAAATGTAGGTGATAATACTCCCAGAATTGCCAAGGATCAGACTCTGGTGAGTTGAAAAGACTTGATTATTTCTCCACAGAGGGATTTTATTAGTCCCAAAGTCTTGGGACTTTGTATTTGGTGCTTCATACTTTATTTTTCCTTTCTTTCAGCTGCGGGAAGCCATGGCTGCAATGAGAAAGTCTGCCCAGGATGTTCAGAAATTTATGGATGCTGTGAACAAGAAAACAAATGCCCAGGATACCCAGAAAGGTCAGTGTGTGAGAGCCTCCCAGCTCCTGTCAGGTAAGGGAGAGCAAGAACAGCTCCTGTCTCAAGTCAGACAGACATTCTTTATATCATATACTTAAGGAGTTTTTAAGCAGTTTCCAACTTGTTTTCTGTGTGTTTTTCTCTGGGTAGATGGACAGACTCCTCAGCAGACTCCTGGTGCTGTCCAGCCTGCGGGCTCCACTGCCGCAGGGAGTGACCTCAGCAACGACGGTGACCTGAAGGTTGGCATGAGGATTCTGGGCAAGAAGAGGACGAAGACGTGGCACAAAGGGACCCTGATCGCGATCCAGACAGTCGGTGCGTCCCACGCTTGCTGCTGTGTTGCAGCTTTGAAATCTCTTCTGAGCCTGAATCATAAAGTACTGCATCTAGTATCTTGGTTTTGTATGAAAACACTTGCTTTCTGTTGATCTTGCTACGCTGGAATGTTTTTCAGGTGCGGGCAAGAAATACAAAGTGAAATTTGACAATAAAGGGAAGAGTTTGCTCTCTGGCAATCACATTGCTTACGACTATCACCCATCACCAGAGAAACACTATGTTGGGAGCAGAGTTGTGGCAAAGTACAAAGATGGGAACCAGGTCTGGCTGTACGCTGGCATTGTGGCTGAAACCCCCAATGTAAAGAATAAAGACAGGTATTTAATTCTCCATAATGATATACCCCTGCGTTAAAAGAAATGCATGTATGTACTTGCTCTTGTGAAGGCTTTTTTTGTCCATTTTCCAAGGATCTACTTCTGAATGTTTTTTCTTAACCTTTTCTTATCTCAGAAAGCTCTGGGTGGAGCTTTAGTTCTATTACTCATATCCCCGAGTTAGAAATTAAATCTGGTAATTCAAATTATCACGCAAATCTAAGTCACTCAAGGCATAAAACACAGCCTTAGGAAATATGAGCCCTAGAAATATTCAGTGCCAGCAACACTGCCAAAGCACTTAAGGGAAAAACAGCAGCAGGTCTAAGACAATCTCTTTGCTTGTGTGTAAATAAGGAGGCAGGGTTTCTTCTGGGCTGTGGTTTAGGCTTGTGGTCTCTGTCAGAAGATTCATAGAGTGGCCCTGCTTGGTTCAAACAGGACTCTGCAATAAATGCCTAATAGTGTAAAGCTCTATCTGATAAGTGGTTGATAACTGAAAACTGAACTGCATTTATTAGGCGCATGGCAAATGAGCTCCTTCTGGGCAGGTTGACTATAATCCTCCCTTGTGATGCGACCTTGACGAGACTCTAAGGCTGTTATACAGATATGTGTTGTGCTGAGTGGGTGATGAATCCCATCCTGTGGACACGGCCGTGCCCCCTGCGCTCCCAAATGCTGGCAGAGATGACTGCTGCTTTTGCTCCTTGTTTGTCATAGCTCCCTCGAGGAGGGTCTCTGTGCCTGGAGGGAGCTTCTCACCATTAGTGTAGTTAGAAATGCCTCAATGCTTTGGTCGTACAATGTCCAACTCTTGTTCTCTGCTGTGCTGCAGGTTCCTGATCTTCTTTGACGATGGCTACGCTTCATACGTCAAGGAGTGGGAGCTGTACCCGATCTGCAGGCCACGTGAGTGATCTCTGTCCTGTGTCCTAACACCGAAACTCTGTGGAGATGCTCTGGGTATAGGAGAGAGCAGGACTCCGGTGGGTGTTAGAAATGTCCTCTTCTAATGCTGTGCCTGTTAAGATGGGCTTTGTTTCTGAAGCTGGAGCTAATAGTGGCTTATTAACTGCAGGGGGAACATGCTGCGGCCTCTGGTACTCTGGTGGCTCGAGTCGAGCAGGCTTCGGGAGGTCAAACTAAGCAGTGAGGCTCTTTCTGTCCACCCCTAGTTTAGGGGCATAGAAGGGCTGGAGTTTTTGAGCGTTAGAGCCATAATGTAGACACATACGGCCCTGGAAGCCCTGAATGTCACAAGACAGGCAGGGGTGATCATAGATGAAAAAAATGCCATGTGGGATCTCTTTTTCAAAGAAATAATGGTACTCTTCATTTGAAAAAAAAACCAATTTCTCTTCCCTTTCTCACCTCTAACCATTTCTGAGCAGTTAAAAAGACTTGGGAAGATATAGAGGACGTGTCCTGTCGTGATTTCATTGAGGAGTACATCACAGCCTACCCCAACCGTCCCATGGTGCTGCTCAAGAATGGCCAGCTGATCAAAACAGAGTGGGAAGGGACTTGGTGGAAATCCAGAGTGGAAGAAGTCGATGGCAGCTTGGTCAAAATTCTCTTCCTGGTATGGCAGCTTCCCATCTCCCGTTAGAGGGAGAAGGAAAATTCAGTTCTAGGGCATCGGGTCATGTTACTTCTTCTGCTGTCTGGCTGGGCCAAATCCACTTTCTTCACTAATGTCAGACAGAAACTTTGAGTAAGCAGGTGTTTTGCTTACTACACATCAATGTGAAGGGGAGAATTTTCCATTTGCAGCTTCCAAAGACCTTTAAAGCATCATGCCTGAAAAACTTGAGGGCATAGGTGCAAAACTTCTATGTATTAGATGAACAGGAGACAAAATCTATCTTCTGCGGGTGATGTTCTCCTGGTTCCTTTCTTGCTGTCAGCTCCTCTTGGCAATGTCTTCTGTTCAAGCAGAAGTACTAGTGTGAGAAGCAGTAGCTGTTGATACTTCCTTGATGCTAGCTCAAATTCTCTAGATTGCAGAAAGAGAACAAACTCATTCACTATCTGTCCCCACTTGGCTCCTTTCCTGTCTAGATAACTACGCAGCCGCTAGCACTGAGAAGGATGTGCATTGGCAAACTTCACCTTGGTGTCCTCGAGTAGATACTGTTTGTGCAGAAGAGTCTGTTTGCATCCCCACGGAGCCTGGCTTCTCCCTGTGCCCTGTTAGCTGTGCTGAGAGGAGAAGCAAATCTGAAGTTGGGGCTCGTGGTGTGGTGCCTCTTTCTAGCCTGGAGATGGAGCTGGGTTTGTGTTTAGTGTTTTTCTGTGGATATATTGAATTACTGGCTGTCTCTGGCCTCTCTTAGCCACGTGGTTGTACACAAGCTTCGGGCAAATGCTTTGCCCCCTCTCCATTTAGTCCTGCCTCCTGTAAAAGCATCAGTGCTGCCTCCCAGTGCCATGCAGTGCCTCTAGCAAGCCCTTGCTGAAGGTGCTGTGAGCGCTGCGTTCTCTCTGCTGCAGGATGACAAACGCTGCGAGTGGATTTACCGGGGTTCCACGCGCCTCGAGCCCATGTTCAGCATGAAAACCTCCACAGCCTCCACCCAAGAAAAGAAGCAAAGTGGACAAGCAAGGACTCGTCCTAATGTCGGTATGTGGTATCTTTCAGTGTTGGTTCTGGAACTTAAATACTTTTTCTCTTCCCCCTTAAGCAAAATTTCTGTAGATCTAATATTTACTGTGACCTTTATTGACTGGTGTAGATATTGTGCAGCAAAGTTAGACTATGGCATGTGAAGCAGCCGGAATCTCTTTGGGGTCACTAGCTGTGATTTGTAGTGCAGCAGATAGCCTGCTTTTAAGTGCAAATGCTTTGGTTTTGATTACCTTTAGGGACTGAACCAATACTTTGTGGCTCGTACAACCAACTTTGGTTGCTGCAGAGACTTTGTTGCTGATGTTCTGTTTCCCATTCGCACTAGGTGCTGTCAGGAGCAAAGGGCCTGTAGTCCAATATACGCAAGATTTAACAGGAGCTGGTGCCCAGTACAAACCTCTAGAGCAAATGCAGGCAACTTCGCTGGCTGCACGGCCTTTTTCTCCACAGCCTGCTGAGACAGAGTAAGTACTTGAGTCCATTTTCTGCTTCCACCATTAACTCCTCAGCGTTTATCTTCAGGGCTCAGCTCTTTGGGCTCCACCCTTTTTGTGTAGAGGGATCCTCAGGTGCAGGTTTCCTCCAGGACTAGCCTTGTTTCCTGATTACACAACTAGCTTTTAGTCAGTCTTCTGGGGGAAGCTGTAGGCAGAGGCTGCTGGATGAACATCTGGGGGTGGGAGAGCTGACAGCTTCATGCCCCTTGAGCCAGGTGCACTGTCCTTACCAGAGCTAAAGCTTCATCCTTGACGTATTTCCAAGATAGGCAATTTGCTGCTTCTCTCCAAAAATCTGAATTGCTCCCTCGTGTCACGATCCAGGCTCTGGCCCCCGGCTGCCTTGCGTTTCTCCGCTTGGACTGACCTGATCATGGACCTCAGTGACTTACAAGGCCCTGAGAACTCAGGATCACTTGGTCCTGGTGGTCACGGACCAAACCTGATAAAGCTAAACTCCAGCCAAGGGACAGCCATGTCTGCTGCCGCCGGGGGCCGGAGCATGACGCTCTCGGAGGTGCGGGCTGGTGCTGAAGGAGACCTGGATGAGAAAGGAACTCGGCCCTGGGACGAAGAGAGTGTGTTTGAGAGCACCGGGGTACCTGAGCACGTGCCCTGGGACATTAGTGACACCCCACGGGAGAGAGATGCTGTCCCCGTTCATTTTTGTCACCAGTGTGGATTTCCCATCCGAATTTATGGACGTCTGGTCCCCTGCCAGCATGTTTTCTGCTGTGACTGTGCTTTGCTGCATGGGCAAAAGGGAGAAGGGAAGTGTCCCAGCTGCAAGGAACCTGTGCACCGAGTGGCGCTTTATTCAGCAGACTCTCTGTAGGTTCAGCAGCATGCAGGGAAGCCCCTCTGCCTTCAGTCCCCATTCTCAGGATGGGGTCCTCCAAGCAGCAGTGCAGTACGACCCCTCTGTAGCCAAGGAGAGGGGCCTCATGCCGAAGGAGGTCTATTCCTGCATGAGATATGGAGGGCTGGCCCTTCCCCCATCAATCTAGGGCCCTGTCTGTGAGCAGAGGAAGAGCTTGACCTGCTCTCTCTAGCACTAGGGCACCCCAAGCCGTCGAGGACATAGGAAGGATGTGCAGTAGCCCAGCAGATGAGGCTGGGCTGCTGCAGGCTGCAGTCTCACAGGTGCCTTATCTCCCCTTTTGCATTCAGCAGTATTTGTAGTGACTACAAGAAACACTTTCCTTATCCCCTTCAGCCTCCACTGGAGCTTTAACTCTAGGGTCCTGGTGTCAGGTCAAACATAAGCAGACATGGAGCTTGCRCTATAGCCACGTTTTTGCTCTGCTGCTAGGTAGCAAAGTCCTTGAAGACAACTGTGGGTTTTTTTGTCTTTACATGTTGAAGGCAGCATTCTCTATCCATGTTGCTGCTGTCACAAGGGATACTATTGGGTTAAAATAAGTGTAGATTATTAAAACTTGAGACAATGGTTTCTTCACTCTGGTGTCTTGTTTACCTTGGGGAAGGCCTACTTCTCTTCCCTCTCTAGACTTTCACCTCCAGTTTCTTGTTTAGTGCCAGGGCCTGCTTGCAGTCATTTTTGACTGTTGAAAGCCTGCTGACAGAAACATTTTTCTCCTCTTGAATCTGTGAAATGTGTTTTTAGTGCCTTGCTTTGAAGGCAGGCATGTGCAGAAAGCATTTACCCTCTTCCTCCTCTCTCCCTGCTTCTTCCCTTTCGGCTCTAAAGAAAACATCAGCACTCCCCTTGTTTGAAAGCCAGTGGCTGCTGTGGGACGTTTTCCTCTTAATCCGTGTGGACGGACTAGAAAGCTCCACACTGTTTCCTTGGAGCATGAGGGCTGCTGTCCTCTCAGTGCCTATCTCACCCTTGCAGTGTTGTGTATCAGGTTGCAAAAGTGTTTGCAGCTCCTTTTTAGCCCTTCTGTCAATGATATTATTGCATTCCCTCCTATAATCTTATCTGGTTACTTGGCAGGGATAAGAGAGTCCTCTGTATTCCTTATTCCTCCCACTGCTCTGTACTGATTGAGCCTCTGAGCTCTCGTTTCTGCTACCCAGGGGACTCCTGCTGTCCTTCTCCTTCCAGCTTCCCAAAGGGAAAGCTGAGGATGTCCCCGCTGCTCCCCCTGTGCTCCCTCTCTCACCTGGCTCTGCATCCTTCTTTTGGGGAGTAGATCCCAGCAATCCCAGATCACGCTACATCTGCAGTCACTTGCCACATAGCTGTGTTTGGGACTGCTGCAAGGTTACAGATGAGCAGAGACGAGCTGCTGCTCGCCGTCCTCGGGAAAGCTCTGCTTGGTGTCCCGCATGGAGGACTCTTGCTGGCGTTCCTGGGCAGGGTTGTTTGCGCCTGTCTCAACCCTCCCGGTTGTGTATGTGGACTCATCTTGTGAACCCCCTGCCTGCTTCTTCCCTCACACAGAGGCTCCGACAGCCAGCTGGCCCAGGCCAGGAAGCAAGTGGCCAAGAAGAGCACGTCTTTCCGGCCGGGCTCCACGGGATCGGGACAGTCCTCGCCCGCGTCGCCCGTCCTCAGCGACGTGCCACCTGCGGGAAGGGGCAGCGCGACTCAGCAGCACCGGTGAGCGGAGCTTGGGTTACTTCACTCTCAGTGCAAGGGCGCTGCTGTCCCCACAGCCTTGTAAGAGCTCAAGGAGCTCACATGTCTTCTGGGCTCAAGTGTTTTAGTGCAGCTGTTGATCCCTCTTCTGAGACTGCTACCAATTTGGTGCCGCCTCCCTAGTTCTGCCCTTGGCAGTTTATTTGTCCTCAGCTGCTGGTAATGCCTGCATTGGGATTGCTTTGTCCTGCTTCCAGGAGGATGCTCGGGCTTGGGACAGATTGGACTGTGGCAAACCCAGGAGGGTGTCTCAGGGTGTACCTAGCAGCTTCAATAGGAAGTAGACGCCGAGATCCCTTTGCAGATGTAGGTGAGGAGGCTGCTGTCCCCTAAACTCAGGGGGTTTGTGTATCTCTCTTCTCGTAACAGGCTTCCGAGCAGTGTGGTGGGTGCTAGCGCGGCACAGCCCTTCCACGGCATGATGGAACGCGTCCCCAGCGAGCCCTCGTACCGAGCCCCTCTCGAGAAGCTCTTCTACCTGCCGCACGTCTGCAGCTACACCTGCCTGTCCCGCGTGCGCCCCATGCGCAGCGACCAGTACCGCAGCAAGAACCCCCTGCTCATCCCGCTGCTCTACGACTTCCGCCGCATGACGGCCCGCCGGCGCGTCAACCGCAAGATGGGCTTCCACGTCATCTACAAGACTCCATGCGGGCTCTGCCTCCGCACCATGCAGGAGATCGAGCGGTACCTTTTTGAGACGGACTGTGACTTCCTCTTCCTGGAGATGTTCTGCCTGGACCCCTATGTGCTGGTGGATCGCAAGTTCCAGCCCTACAAACCCTACTACTACATTGCAGACATTACCAAGGGCAGGGAGGACGTGCCCCTGTCCTGCGTCAACGAGATCGATAACACGCCACCTCCACAGGTGGCCTACAGCAAAGAGCGCATCCCGGGCAAGGGGGTTTACATCAACACCAGCTGGGAGTTCCTCGTGGGCTGCGACTGCAAAGACGGCTGCAGAGACAAGTAGGTGCCTCTGTGTGTCTGTGCTGCCTGCCCCAGTAACAACTGGGGCTCAGCTTCCCACGCGCCAGGGGATTTGGGGAGGAGATCCTATCTGCACGCAGAAAGATGTGACTCCTGCTGCTGCCTAAAGGAAAGAGTCTGTAAAACTAATCTTTGGGCATGGGGTGGGGGGGGGATGTTTCTGTGTGTGTCTCCAGATCGAAATGTGCTTGTCACCAGCTAACAGTCCAGGCGACTGGCTGCACCCCTGGCGGGCAGATCAACCCTAATTCGGGCTACCAGTACAAAAGGCTGGAGGAATGTCTCCCAACAGGGTGAGTAGAGCTTTGCTCCCTCCTTTTCTCACCAACATCAATCCCAGAAAGTTGGCCTTCAATGGTAGCATTTCCTGAAGCTAAATGCAGATCCTAGAAAACTTGCCTCTATTGCTGATTCATCAGCTAACTCATGGCCCAGGATCTCTCTCCATTACCAGAGTATCTAACAACTGATTGACTCCCTACACTGCCAAGCTTTAAACTGATGCTGTTGCTGAATTCCTGGCCTGCTGCAGGCCCCTGTGTGCATTACTAGCATACCACCCAATCTTTGGGACTTTCTTTAAGGGAAAATAATTCCGGTCCTAGAAAGAGGTGTCACTGTTGTCCCTTCTTTCAGCGTGTACGAGTGTAACAAGAGGTGCAAGTGCAATGTTAACATGTGCACCAATCGCTTGGTCCAACACGGCCTCCAGGTCCGGCTGCAGTTGTTCAAGACGCAGAACAAAGGCTGGGGCATTCGCTGCCTCGATGATATTGCCAAGGGCTCTTTTGTCTGCATCTACGCAGGTAGGATCTCACCCTGCTGAAGAAGTAGGTGGAAACAGCTTAGTTTTGAAATGGGTGCTGAGCTAAGCCAGTGCCCTTCTTGGCAGTCGCGTGTATTCATTTATGGAATTGGTTCCTTTTGTTTAAGCCAAAGCATGGGGGGAATAAGAACTGGTTGTGTCAAGGCTGTGACCAAGACCTTGGCTTTGTTTATCGTGAAATGCAAACCCGGCAGAATGGGTGTGAAGCCTTTCCCAGGCATGGTCAAGGGCCAGGAAAGTGAAAAACGAGCTGCGCAACTCGCAGCACCATGATTTCCTGAGTGATGCCCCTTGCCCAACTCTTAAATAAGGTGCTGCAGTGCCAGCCTCAAGAGAAGTGTTTTTGCACAGCAAGGGTGAATCAACAGATACCTATTTCCTGTTTATACCGAACCAGTCCCTGGGACATCCTTGCAGGCCAATAAAATGCAGAAGTTGCACCACATGGTTGCATTAACTCGGACAAGAAACTAACCACGGGCATTGCCTGAGCTCTTGCGCTTTGGTTTCTTACCCTTAACGCTGCCTCCATGCTACGTCCTCGCCTCCAGCCAAAACTCTTCAGAAAAGGCAATTGCTCTGTTCAAATTGCTGTTTAGAGACTTCCTCCTTGAAAGCCTGGGCATTAAGGGGATATGTTTTAGATCCGCCACATGCTTGAGGTTGTCCCTAGCTCAAGCAAAAGGGTAACACGTTGTCCTTTCACAGCCTAGCTCAATGGTGAGATGGTGTCAGCCACCTTTGCTCCCCCTGAGCCTTGGGGGAGGATAAAATATGTGTAATGGGAATGTCGTGGCAGGAAAACTCGCAGCTTTTTCTCTCTTCCTCAGGGAAAATCCTCACCGATGACTTCGCTGACAAAGAGGGCTTGGAGATGGGTGATGAGTACTTTGCAAACCTGGACCACATCGAGAGCGTGGAGAACTTCAAGGAAGGCTATGAGAGCGATGCCAAGTGCTCCTCCGACAGCAGTGGAGTGGATCTCAAGGATGAAGAGGAGGAGAACACGGGCACCGAGGAGCAGGAGGAGTCCAACGAGGACAGCTCTGATGACAACTTCTGTAAAGATGAGGACTTCAGCACGAGCCCGGTGTGGCGCAGCTACGCCACGCGACGGCAGACCCGGGGTCAGAAGGAGAACGGGCTGTCGGAGACGGCGTCCAAGGACTCTGGGCTCACCCGGCAGATCAGCCACGACGAGGCCACGGTGGCCGCCTCCTGCAAGCTGCCCGTGTCTGAGGAAACCTCCAAGAACAAAGTGGCCTCATGGCTGAGCTCCAACAGCGTGGCCGACGGCTTCCAGGACACCGACAGCGCCTCCTCCTTCAAGCTGAGCGAGGGGGGCGAAGCCAAGGCCTGCAAGACAGAACTGCCTGGCGAGAGGGAGAAAGCCTCCACTTCTGGCCTGGGAGATGTGGATGGAGAGGCAAAAGTGTCCAAGAAAGAAGTAAGGGGGGCCATGGGCTGTGGGAGACCCAGCATGTGGGGTGGGAAGAGCCATGGTTGTGACTTGCTGCTTTCGGAGTACCTGAGAGCCAAGGAGGGGGAATTTGGGGTATTTGAGGGGAGCTCCCACAGGAGGGCTGAAGGAGGCTTGGGAAGGGAAAGGTTTCAATCTGCAATTCTTTCTTCCACAGGAAGCTGAGGATCCAAGCAAACTTCCCGGGTAAGGTACCATCAGTTGTACTCCTTCCGTGCCTTTTCTTTACCCGCACGATGTGTGTGGCTCCATGGGGCGGAGAGGCGAGTGCCACCTGCCCTTGTCCTCGCCCCTGCAGGCTCAGTGACCTGGGCAGGCTGTACGGCTACAACCCGAGCCCCCCTAAGCTGGAAGGCGTCCGGAGGCCACCAAGCAGGACAGCGCTGCTGCAGAGCCGGCGGCACGCGGGGTCCCTGCAGCCCTCCGCCGACGTAAGGGCTGTGGCGGTGCTGCGTGGGCCACCCCACGGCAGCTCAGGAAGCGGGGGGACCCTGAGTGGCGCTCGCGGGGCGCTGGAAGGAGCCACCTTTCCACAGGATGTGCTGACCCTGTCGAGCAGCACGGACAGCGAGGGCGAGAACGGGCAGGCGGCGGCTGGGCAGGCCCCGGGCACCACCAACGACAGCGACGACATCCAGACCATCTCATCCGGCTCTGAGGAGGAGGAAGGGGATGACAAGAAAAACCCCTTGTCTGGCTCAGGTGAGGCCAACCACGCTCGGCCAGGGCAGGAGCTGGGGCCAAGAACAGAAAGTGCCAAGTCAGAACGAGCAAAGTTGGTCAGAAACCTGCAGGAAGGGCTGGCAAGATGCTCCCTGTGGCTGCAGGAGCCGTGTGTCCTGCTGCAGGCAAAGAGCCAAGGCCTGAAGCTGCACTGGGTCCGTTTTGAGACTTCACTTGGCAAAAACAGGCTTCAAACACCATTGAAAGGGTGTTTGAAACACGAAAACACGAGGGAAAGGGCACCGGGAGACCCGTTCTGTTGGGTTTCCAGGCACTGTGCTGGGTAGAGTGGAGGGTTTGGAGGGATCCCAGAGTGACATCTGCGCCTGGAGCAGTGCGCCGAGGGTTCCATTTTGTGGGAATGGGGCCTTAGGGACAGATGGCAGCAGCGGTGGCTCCTCCCTTACGGCAGGTCTCGTGAAGAGGCAGGTGGCAGTGAAATCCACACGGGGCTTCGCCCTCAAGTCGACTCATGGCATCGCCATCAAGTCGACCAACATGGCAGCGGCAGACAAGGGCGAGAGCGCGCCGGTGCGCAGGACCACGCGCCAGTTCTACGACGGTGAGGAGTCCTGCTACATCATCGACGCCAAGCTCGAGGGCAACCTGGGCCGCTACCTGAATGTGAGTCGTGGCCTCTTGTCTGGCCTCTGCCATCTTGGGCATCTCCTCAGAGAGCACACGCGGCCCCTTAGCTGCTCTGTGGGGGGGAAGTTGAGCCTGCTGCCTGCTCTCGTGGCTGCTGTTCACTCCTCTCCTCGGATGGATTGGGAATTGCTGGGAAATGCGGCTGTTTGCCCCACCTTTGAGCTTTGACCCTGGAAGCGGAGGAGGAAGGGGGAAAGAATCTTCTGTCTGTGGCAGCTGGGGAAGGAAGGGACCCTTTTGGGCGCTGCTTCTGTCTTAGGATGGGGGAGGCCTTGCCCTTGGAGAAGGTCCTTCCTCCCTCGCCGCTAGATAAACAGCGGGAGAGCCGGAGGAGGCAGGATAATCCTCCAGCAAAGAAAAGGGAGCTGGGGAGGCTGCTGCTGGCGCGTGGCGAGTGGAGCGGCCGAGTCAGTCCTTCCAGCGTCCGTTCCCTTCACTAGCAAGGAGCTCGTGACTCATCCCTAGTCATGGAGGGAGGGAACAGCTCCCATTCCAGCAGGCTCCCGCTGGATGCAGTGCTCAGATCAGGAATGCTGTTGTTTAAAAAGCACTCGTGGTGGCTGCCAGCTGGTTGGTAGCCCTGTCGAGGCAAGCGCTCGCTCACGGCACTGCTCTCTGCTCTCTTCAGCATAGCTGCAGTCCCAACCTCTTTGTGCAGAACGTCTTTGTGGACACGCACGACCTCCGCTTCCCTTGGGTCGCCTTCTTCGCCAGCAAGTGAGTCGCCGAGCGTGAGGCCGTGGCGGAAAGGCTTTGCCCCCTGCTTGGCAGGGACTCCATGCCCTCGGGACTGCTTCCCCCCTCCCTGCTGCCTCCTCCTTTCATGAGGGTGGGTGCTGCAGGTCCGCTTGGGCTGCAACCCCTCTCCCTGGCTGGAGATGCTTCGCAGTGGCTTTTCTGGCTTGGGCAAAGCCGGGCAACTTGAGCCCAGAGGTGCCATCCGGTCCTTGCAGCTCCTGCTCGCTCCAGCTCCCCGCATGTGGTGTCACCTCTTGGGAGCCCTACAGCTGTGATTCAGCGGGGACCTTTGTCCCTCGCTTGCTGCAGGGCCCAACTGCTTGTTCGCTCAGGCCGCTTGCCCCTTGCCCTGCATGATACCGCCAGCCTGACCCAGGGCTGTCCCTAAACGCTGCCCTTTGCTAGCAGGGGCTTAACCTCCTTTTTCTGGAGTTCTTCTGCCCTGGGGGAACCAGCTTTGCAAGACGCTTCCCTGTCCTTCCTTCCCAGGAGAATCCGGGCTGGCACGGAGCTGACGTGGGATTACAACTATGAAGTGGGCAGTGTGGAAGGCAAAGAGCTGCTGTGCTGCTGTGGGGCCATCGAGTGCCGAGGGCGGCTGCTGTGAGCCCAGCTGCTCTTCCCAGCAGTCCTGGTTGGGACCCTGTGGCCCAGGAACGGGACAGCTCCTAGGAATAGTCACAAAGCTGAGCTGGTGGCTTGAAGTTCTCCTGTTCACTTGAAAACGATGGCAGCAGATCGACAAGGACCAGAGACTTGGCTCTGGCAGAACACCCGTGCTGGGACAGCCACAAGGGCCACAGTGAGTGGCCTGTTTTGCTTTTCCTGGGACTACAGTGGCTCTGTCCCTTGGCAGGAAGGACTGCAGCTCCCGAGCTGACTCACGGGCCACTCTTCCTGCTCTTGAGTTCTCTTCTAACTGTAAGACACAAGCCCTGGACAGCATGGGCGGGCATGGCTCTGCTGCTGAGGGTACTGCTGGAGACAACCCTTCAGGCTCCCAGGGCCCCCTTTTGCCATTGGAACAGGGCTAATGCTCTCCCCCTGGCTTTGGGAGCAGCCCAGGAGGCAGGGAAGAGGGGGGGAGTTCAGCCCTGGGGGGACCAGTCCAGCTTTACACCTATCACCTGTGATTCAAGGTGGGGGAAAAAAAAACAGCTCTCTCTCGTGCTGAGAACCTGTTCAGTGGTCAAAGTCAATAAAGTATGTTTTTCTAAAAAGAAAAGCAGCAGCCCAGGTTTTTCTGCCACAACTGGGGGCATTCCTCCCTTGGTTAACGTTAAATTCCTCTATTTAAGGGAAACATAATCCCTCTTTCTACAACCATAAGGCAGGTTGTAGGCAACCATAAGCAGGACCCTCTGCTCCATTTGCTCAACCTGTGCAGCAGGGAGGGGGCACCAGGGCTGTGGGCACAGCCTCCTGCTGCCCAAGTGGCTCCAACGGGAAAAACCTGCTCCTTTGTGCCTAATAAATAAGAGTTTTGGGGGTTGGTTTTGTGTTTTTTTTTTTTTTTTTAAAGCTTAAATGAGTCAAGAGCAAACACTAAAAGAGGCCGATTTTACTTGACCTGGCCTCAGTCCCTGCATCCAGCCCCTGCTTGAACCACCCCCAGGCAGCACTGAGCTGATGCCTGGGTGAGCTCCACAGGTGCCTCCCCCTGGAGCGCCATTCTGCAGGGCCAAAATAGTGGGCTTTGTTTTGGTTTGGTTTTTTACCTTTTGGGGGCCTCCGCAAGCTCCACTTCCCATCCTTACAGTCCACGTGAATAGCAGCTTTGTAATCCTAGCAGGCTGAGCAGGGCGGTCGCTCCTCTCGCCGCCACGGCGCCACTTTAGGGCCGCAGCAGCATCAGGCTTTCAAAAGAAGAGCAGAGAGGTAAGAAGAAGCCGCTCCGGGGCCCCAGCAGAACCAAAGTTTCCAGCTTCTGCGTTTGTTCCAAGCCCTACAGAAGATACCCAAGCCCATTTTTACCGAAGTTTATTAGTTTTTGTTTTGTTTTTTTTTTTTAAACTTTTAATATCCTTAACTTTTTTCCTTTAAAAAAAAAAAAAAAAGGAAAAAGAAAAACCAACAAAACACGTTTTGGTCTGACGTTGGTTAATGGTCCTTTTCCCCCCACCTCTCTGCGCTGGGAGGTCTTGCTCCCCCCAGCTTCGCCCTGCGGGTGGGCGGATGCGGGAGGCAGAGCCAGGCCTGGCTCCTTCCATCTTCCAAATAAATAGAAGCAAAAATCAGTCGCAACGTTGTCCTGTTACAGCCAGGGAGGGGACCGGGAGAGGGACAGACTCGAGGCAGTCAAAACCCAGTTACAGGAAAGGAAAGGAGGGATGAAAGCCCTCCCTGCCACACTCTAGTGACTAACCCCTCCAACTTCCTTCCCCCAAGCCTCCCTCATGTTGTCGGGGTTTCAGCCGCTCCAACAGCCGTGGCTCCTTCCTCTATCCCCCAGCAAAGCTCGATCCGCCCTCACTCCGTGCCCAGCTGGCCGAGGAAGGGGCTTTCCCGAGGCCTCGGGACAGGCACAAGGGCCCCCGGAGCTGGCTCCCCTGCAGCGAGGGGAAGGGGAGGCAACGCAGGGCGGGAGCCGAGCTCGGCGCTGTGGGGAGGGGACGGTCCCCACTGTGCTGGCCCCGCGGCAGATTAAGGCAGTAGGTGAAAGGCAGAAAGGGCACGAGCGGCGAGCGCCGCTGTCCCCAGAGCTGCGGCGTCCGCAGGCCGGGGCTCTGCGAGGGTCCCGCTTTGCTCCGCTGGAGCAGGGAGGGGAGACGAAGGAGGGGACGGGGACCTTGGCGCTACGTGATGGTGGCAGGGTGGGATTTGACATCTCACGGGCTTTGGCCTCCTTGCGGGCCCCCGGCCGCCCCCACCAGCCGGGGCCGGGCGTGCGACCGTGGGGCGAGGAYGCTCAGTCGGTTTTGCGATGGTTGTTGTTGAGGATGGGGTGGCCGTTGGAGAGGGGCCCGTTTTTCGCTGACGCCGCCTCTTCCTCCTCCTCCGTGTCATCTGTCTCTTCACGATCACTCCTCTCATCCTCCACCACCTGGGGGGGGAAGGGAAAGGGGGGTCTCGGTTGACTGGGGCCCCTAGACTGCCTGCCATTTCCCAATGCTCCCCCGAGGATGCCTGAGGACTTACGAAGCCAAACGGAGCTTCTGTGTCCCCCCTCAGCAGCCCACACTGTCCCTTCTCGCACCCTCCCCAAGACACCAGGGCCCCAACTCACCTTTCCAGTTATGAACTTCTGGGCCATGCGGATGATGAGGTAGGCCCAGAAAACATGCAGTGACTGCAGCACCACCATCATGAAGTTGAAGAAGTAGTAGCCGAAGAAGGCAGGGTAGAGCTCCAGCGGATAGACCACGGTGCAGTGCATGATCCTGCCCAGGACATGGGGAAAGGTGTCTCTTTTCATACCCAGGAGAAGCCTCCCATGGCCACAGGTCTCCCTGCCACCCCTTGCCTCTGTTCCACCACCCATCACCCAAAGTCGGGGCTCACCAGAAGGGCAGGATAACCAGGCGGGTGATGATGAAGACGGCGGCGAAGACGATGAAGATGTTGTTACACGTGTTCCTCCAGCCAGCGTAGTTGAACATCTTGGCAGACTGCGGGAGCGCAGGGACATGAGGCAGGGTGGTGACACAGGCCGCGGCCGGGCCTGGCCCAGAGGGGACGTTACCTCCAGCAGGTAGTCAGCAGAGTCGTGTAGGGCCATGATGAGCGTCCCTGCACGGATATAGTTGGCGAACCAGGAGAAGCTGATGAGGATGATGGTGGCCACATGGTGGATGATCTGCTCCTTGAAGTCCTGTGTGCAGGAAAGGTGTCGGGGATGGGGTTGCAGCAGCCTGTCCTGTGCCCCCTGGCACCCTGCAGCACCCCTTGTCCCCAAGATCCCCCTCTTTGCCCTCAAATTCTGACCAGCCAGTCCCCAAGGCTCACAGTGTGTAGGCAAAGCCTGCTAAGGTGCCCCTGTCCCCACTGCCCTCCCAGGGGCACATCCTGTCCCCCGCAGCATACCTTGCGCTTGACGTCAGAGGCGATGCTGAAGAGCAGGGACCAGTAGAAGGAGAGCTCGATGATGTAGTACCAGTACTGGGAGGGCAGCATGCTCTGAAAGCCAAGGGACACGCTGGGGACAACATCCGTATGTCGCAGCAGAGGTTCAATCCCCCTCCCCAACCATCAGCCAGAGCCAGGCAGGCCCTGGAGGTGCCAGGGAAGCCAGCCGGGCTGAGGGACAAGGAGCAGGGCTCACCTGGATAGGGTAGCCCTTCCACACCTCCCGCAGGTCGTAGAACCAGGGCTTCTGCAGGACACAGGGAGACAGAGGGACGTGAGTGGGGGCACTGCAGAAGCCGCGAGGCCGGGCGCCGGAGGGGCACACGGTACTTACATCTACTATGACAGCCATGCCAGCAATGAAAGCAAGAAGGTAAAACGTGAATCGCCAACTGGAAAAAGGAAGCAGACGGTTCTCAGACGGGCACCGGTGCAAAGGAGGGAGAGGGACAGAGCCCCCAGCCCCACTCATGGGGCTGCTCCTGGCCAAGCTAAGGCCCAACCCCCCAGCCCTATCCATTGCCCCAGAAAGCGGGAGCGAGTCTCCACAGGGTCACGGTGCATCCCCACGGAGCAGTGCAGGGGCCAGCCGGGCGCAGGGTCTCACCTGGCCTCTCGGAACTTCTTGAGCAGGCTGGGCCGGTCCTGGTTGCGCCGGCGACGAAACCAGCGCTCCACTTGCCGCACCGTGCAGCCGCTCTTCTTGGAGAGCATCTCCACGTCGGCCTAGGGCCGGCAGAGACGTCATGGTGCTGCTCACCCGGGCCCGGCCACCCCAAGCCCATTTCGGGGACACCCCTCACCTGCTTGGGGTGCTTGGTGGTGGCGGCATAAAACTTCTCCAGCACAGCGTTGGGGGTGGCTTTTAACCTGATCTTCTCCTTGACATTCAGCAACCCAGCCAAGGGGGTGGCCACATACCTGGGGATAGGAAGGGGACAAATGAGATGTCCCCACATCACCGGGTCCTGTCCAGCAGCTGCCAGGGATAGCCCAGAGGAGCAGCCCCAGGACTTGCCGCTGCCCTGCACCTCCCGCTGTTGCCCAGCCTTGCTCTGAGCGGCTTCTCCAGRGCAGGATTTGCCACTGGGGTGTCCCCTGGGTTCCTCTGCCACTCCAGGGCAAGGAGACGCCCCCCAGGGACAGCGTCAGGTCCCGCAGGACGCATGGGAAGAGGCAGGGCAGTACGTGCCCTGCGAGGGGCCGCCCCCGTGTCCCGGCATCCCGACAAAGCCGGGTCTGTTCCCGGACGTTGTTTGCCTAACAAATCGCTCCTTAAGCACCGGCCCCACAGGCAGCCGGGCTGCGATAAGGCCAGCGAGGGAAGATGCACAAAGCCCCATTTGTGCAGGGCTGCCAGGGCAGATCCCCGGCCCGAAATCTGTGCCTGGTGCAAATTCCAGCTCCGGGGCAGCCCGGCCCTCAGCTCGCAGGACACCTGGACTCATTCTGCAGGGGGGAGCAGGGCAAGGGGGGCATTGCCAGGGACTCAATCCTGCTCCCCAAGGCCTGGCCATCTCCAGCTGTAGGGATGCAGGAAGGGCCAGAGCAGAGCCACAAGGGAGGCAGGAGCCCCAGGACAAGAAGGCAGGAATCACTCACGTCTCGAAGAGGTGCCGGATGACAAGGAAGAGGAAGGCCAAGGGGAGGGTGATGTAGAGGTCGGAGGCTTTGGCGTAGACTCGCCCATCGCGGTCCTCCAGGTCGGCCCACGTGAGGTTTGCGGGCAGCCAGAGCCGCTCCCACCAGAAGTAGCTGTACAAGGTCTGGAACATGCTGGGGAAGGAAGAGAAAGACGGTGAGGGGGGACATGGGTCCTGGCATCCCCAAACCGACGCCGTCCCTCCCACCGCGCCCTGGCTAAGGGGGACCCAGCACCGCAGGACCCACTCCTGTTCAGGACTCCCATAACAGAAAGAGCCCCCACAACAGGCTGCGTTTGGGGCCGAAAAGAAGGAAACTGGCCCCAGTGGGGACACCCCCGCTTGCCACGGCCTCYCTGGGGCCCCAGCGGCACCGTCTGTGCAGCACCCACAGAGCGCCCGGTCCCGAAAGGAGAAGCTGCCGGCGGCGGCGCTGCAAGCAGGAGCACGGGTGTCACCCAGCCCGGCCCGGCCACCTGMCGGGGCCGCTCCGAGGTCCCCCAGTGCCGCGCGGTGCCGGGACTTTGCCCCTGGCGGCGCGGAGGGCAGCGGCTGATGATTAACTGAGGCTGACGGCCTCCTTGAGCCGCGGCCTCCTGTCCCCAGGCCRCTTCCCTGGCGGCAGCTGCGCCAGCGGGATGGGGCCTGGGGACCGCAGCATGGACACGTGTCACCTTTGTGTCCCAGCTTCGCTGCCGAGCCGGGGCACCCCAGGCTGAGGCCCCGGCCACTCAAGTCGCTTGTAGAGCTGCCAGCAGCACCAGGATCCCTGCCCGTCTCCACTGCCAACTCCGGGGTGCCGGAGCAGGATCCCACAGGGAAGCCGGGGCCAGACGGGAGCCACAGCAAGGATGGAGCTGGCGCCTCCAGGAGTGGGATTAGGGATTTGCTGGCAGCACAAAGGGCACCTTTGTGCCGTACCAAGCGGAGCAGCGGCGCCCCAGGAGCACACGGGGACCATGGGATGGGAATGTCGCAGTGGCTGGGAAAAGGCTGGGAAAGGCCGGTGCGGCTCCCAATCGGAGCAGGGCCCAAGCCGGAGCAGGCAGCGCTGGGCGAGCCCCGGAGCCGCCGCGGGGCCAAGGGCYGCGCCACAGCGGGAAGCAATTCCAGAGCCGAGGGCGGCACCTAACGGGCCCGGGCGCCCGCCAGGAAGGGCTGGGGACACGGCGGGTGACAGTGGCACTGGGGCTCGGAGGCAGCGCTGCTGGAAACTGCCCCGAGCGTCGAGGTGGAAGCCCTGAAGCAGCACCAGGAGCCGCCCAGGAGCGGGGCAGGCGCGATGCCCACAGGGGCTCTGGGCCCCTGAAACGCAGGGACCCCCGGGGGCTCCCTCCCCTCGGTGCCACCCGGGCCGTGGCAAGAAGGGGGTCATTTGTCCCCGGAGGAGCCGGGCTGCGGGAGCCCGAGGRCGGCACCTGAGGCCAGGGATTCCCTGTGGAGCCTGTTGGGAGCCTCCTGGGTGGGAAACCCCAAGCAGGGGGGGGTGACAGGGCCACCCGCCCCCCCTGAAGGGTCCGTCCCCCTCCCCGCGGTCCGGGGGTGCCCTGATCCCCCCGCCCTGCGCCATCGCAGGGCGCCCGGCCCGGTCCGGAGGCGGTTCATGCCCCCCATGCGGCGGCGCCGGGGCAGCACCGACCCCCCCGCCTGGCCCGGCCCGGCCCGGCCCGGCCCCGCCCCGGCCGCAAAAATGGCGAGAAACGGCACGGAAAGGAGAGGCGCGAGCAGCGGCCGCCCGGGCACGGCGGGGC